TGACTGACATGGTGTCATAGGACATACATTTGAGTCATAGTTGAGTAATGACCTCAAGAAGATAGTATATGGTTCACTAACTGTCCTTCTAATCCTATTTCTTCGTTGACTGTGATGAAATGAGTATGTGGGGGCATTACTTGGTCAGTGAGTGTATCAACACATAGTTTGGTAATGCGCCATCAATACTGATGAAGTGGTTAGTTTAATGCCTAATATTGTTTGGAAATTTTCTTGTTGAAAAGTGTTCATTCATTACTTTTGGTATTCACATTTGTCTAGTTAGTTGTGACTTTGAAAGGCAAGTTAGCCAAGTTTGGGCTGGAGCAATAGCACAGCGGTAGGGCATGTTTGCCTTGCGCACAGCCAGCCCGGCCGAGCCGGGTTTGATTCCTCCACCCCTCTCGGAGAGCCCGGCAAGCTACCGAGAGTATCTCGCCCGCGTGGCAAAGCCTGGCAAGCTCCCCATGATGCCAATATGCCAAACACAGTAACAACAAGTCTCAAAACTGGAGATGTTACTGGGCCTGCTCGAGCAAACAATGATGAACAACGGGAGGACAGTTAGCGAAGTTTGGTAACTTCAGGAGCCAGACAAGAGTTTAAGTTATACTTTGGTTGTGAGCTTAAAAATCTGTAGGTTGACTTGGAGTTACTTGGTAGAAGGACTCCTGACATAGACTTCCTGAATTTGATTCCTCACATTATATCCTCCTCTCTAAAACTAGTCTTTAATCTGAGAAGTTCGCCTTTAGTCTGTTTCATGTAGTATCATAGGTCTGCTGTGAGCACTTCTCGGTCTCTTCCTCAGATTTGGAAGAAGTTTAGATGACGAGAGCTGTGAGTGCCAACCTTTACAATGTGAATTGCTTCCTCAAAACAGTTTGGAGGTATTAGAGAGACAGTACAGTGGATAAGGTGCTTGGCTTGCATTCCATATCATCCTCTGAGCACTTTCAGGAGTGATTCCTGAGTGCAGAGCCAGGAGTAACCTCTGAGCATCACCAAGTGTGGCCCAAAAGTCTCATTCCCCACCCCTAGCCTCCCCTAAAATTTGGAAATTGAAGTAAAATTTGAAGAAATGTAACTTCTGTGAGCATTTCTATGCTCTTGAATGACAGTGGCCAAATAAATTTAGTAATCAACATTTGGCACATAGATTAGGACGCAATTTTAGTACTAGATTTTAAAAATATACGAGATACAGTCTTCCCCTTTTGGACCATGCCCAGTAAAGTTCACGGTCTGTTCTTGGCACAGTGCTTAGAGGGGGAGCATTTGCTGCTGGGGATCAAACCCACATCTCCTGAAAACGAAGCATGTGCTCTAGCCCGTGGAGCTATCACCAGTGTGCTCTCCATTTTTGTAAAGCATACACTCGATTCACACAGGACCCAAGTGGAACAGAATTCCTTTTTTTTTTTTTTTGGACAGAGGAGAGGACATTCAGAGACTACACCTGGCTCTGTGCTTGCAGGATCATGTGCCTAGAATTGAACCTGAGCCTCTCGCATGCACACAGTACACTCAGAAAGCCTTTGAATTGTCTCCCAAGTCCAAATTTTTTATATTTGATTCAGGCTCAGGAATGTAGATTTGTTGGCTCTATGAGAGTAGTTTTGACTTTGGGTGGTAACATTATTATTATTATTATTTTTGCTTTTTGGGTAACACCTGGCAATGCCCAGGGGTTCCTCCTGGCTCTGCACTCAAGAATTACTCCTGGCAGTACTCAGGGGACCATATGGGATGCTGGGAATCGAACCCCAGTTGGCCGTGTGCAAGGCAAACGCCCTACTCGCTGTGCTATCATTCCAGCCCCCAGTGGTAAAATTATTAGTGAAACTTAGAGATGGATGTAAGTTTAAAATGAAATCCAAAATTTTAAGGTCAGTCACGTATCCTCAAAGCTGTTCAGGATGATCTACTCTTTTGTAGATAAACTTAGGAAATAAAAGAGCTTCCTAGAAAGTTCTGCTTAGAAATAGAACAGGATTTTGTGCGTTTTTAAGTCTTGCGTGACCCTAGGCCCCCCCCCGCCCCCACCCCAAACACATCATAAACTTGCATTCTCTGCTTTTCACCAAGAGTCACTGAAATTTCCATTCGTTAGTTGAACTCCCTTTCTATGGTAGGTTTTTGTTCTAACTACACCCCGTGATGGTCAAGGATTACTTCTGGCTCTGCACATAGGAATCACTCCTGGCGATGTTTGTGGGGGATCATATGGGATGCTGGGGGTTGAACCCGGGTTAGTTGCCTGCAAGGCAAGCACTCTGCTTGCTATAGTAATCACTCTGGTCGCTATCTCTAGAACTTCTTTGGGTGGACGTTTCCCTCGTACTTTTTGGTCCACACCTGGCAATGCTTAGGGGCTGCTCGTGACTGGGTTTAGCAGTGCTTGGGGGGAGCTTACATGGTGCTGGGGAGCAAATCGGAGTCAGCTGCATGCAAGGCAAGGGACCTGTTGTACTACCTGGCCCCTCCTTTTTTCTCTAGGATTTTTTGTGTGTGTGTGTCATTGTTACGTGGGCATCCAGTCATTCCTGGCAGTGCTCAGCCTCAATCCAGGGCTTCAGACATGTAAGACATACACTATACCACTTGAACCATACTCTGGGCCCCTTTGGTTTTTGGGTCACACTTAGTGGAACTCAGGGTTTGTTCCTGGCTCTGTGTTCATGGATTACTCTTGACAATGTGCAGGAAACCATAAATGGCCCAGGAATCAAATCCTGGTTGGCTGCATATCAGCCAGTGCCTTATCTAGTAGTGTTCCATCTCTCTGGACCCCGTTGAATTTTTTTTTTTTTTAATTTAACCAAGCATGTGTGAGGGAAAATAGTTATCCCTGGCTATTTTTGTTCTTTGTCATTTTACTTACAATTTTGCAGAAATAACAAAAGAATGCTTAAGGTTCATTTTACTAGATTATTGGGAGGGGGGTATGCGGAGGTGTACACCCAGCAGTGCTCAGGGCACTCAGGGATCACTCCTGGTGGGCTCTGGGGACCATATGGAGTGCTGGGGAATCGAACCCAGGTCTCCCACATGAGGGCAAAGGCCCTACCCTGCTGTCACTCCGGCCCCAAATACCTTGTTTTTGCATAGTCGGGCAAGGCACGTAAATGGCTTAGGACTAACTCCTGGCTCTGCTCAGAGTTAACTCCTGGCGGGCTTGGGGATGCTGAGTTGGACACAGGCAAGGCAGGCACCTTACCCATTGTACTATCACTCTGGCTCTTCAAGCCCCAAATATTTTAATAAACATTTGAAAATGGCTGATCCAAAAAATTCCCCATACTGTCAGGATTTTGGCAGTATGTAGATCTTTGAGTAAAGTTTTTTGTTGGTGCTCCTTAGTTACCATGCATAAACCTTGAACAGCTCCTTAAAAAAATACATGAAAAATAAAATGTGTTTAGTAAGTTTTTTGGTTTTTTTTTTTCTGATTTTGGGATTCCCGCCAGTGGTGCATCGACCAGTGGTACTGTTTGATGCCAGGGCTCAAACCTAGGCCTCCACTAGGCCTGCTGAGTTCTCTCTGTGACTCAGATTTAATTCATTTTAGCTTACTCTGCTTATCTTACGTTTAAATATAATGCAACAATATTTAGCCAAACTTGATTCACTAATTTATTAAACTTTTTTTTTTTGCATGTCTTTATCATCTGTTTCTAGTCACCTTTGCACACAAAGCTGCCTTTGGCATTTGTTCAGTAATGAACTTTATCAGTTTTGGTGTACAAACATCACAAAAATGAAAGAATACTGTCATATGTCCTTTAGCAAAAATAGGATAGTCTAGATTCTTGTCAGGGTTTTGTATGATGAAGTACCACTTGAATAATTAACTGGGTGAGAGTATTAAATTTTCCTTTCCACCTTAGAGTTATATTGTATGGGAATATTCATCTAGGAAGTTGCCACTGAAGACTTCTCACTGTCTGATATTGTTGATAAGAAATGTTCACAATCTTAGTATCTAGGGTGCTGTTTTCTCTTTCTTTGTACAATCTTCTGATTCCTGATAATTGTGAGAATTCTCTTGTAAATTTTCATCTTTTTATAGTTGTGGGGTAGGGGAAAAGTACTGAATCCTCAACATTTCTTTCTTCTGCTTCTGGGAGTTAATCCAGGAACTCCCTCATGCACGGCAAACACTCTACCACTGAGCCACATTGCAGCCCCCCCAGTATGAATATTGAGCTGTTTAGCTGTAGTCAAAATGTAACTAAAAGGATGGTGTTTCTTGTCTTAATGAAAATGAAAGTAGTTGCAAGATAGGGATAAATAAGACCAAGAGAGAGCATAAGACCTTTGACTGGTGGAAGGATATTTGCTATATCATAGTTACAAGATAATGACAGGCTATTCTAAAAGTCATAAATGTGCTATTTTTTTTTTTTTGGAAATAACTGAAAGAAAAGATAAATGTTATGGAGTAGATTTGCGCAGAAGAACTGCCAAGTTGAAATTGTTCACTGGTGTCTGTTTGACATATAAGAAGGTCTTTTTTTTTTTTTTCTTAAAGTTTTTTGTTTTTTTTTTTTCCAGGATTGATCCCTGAACACCATGTCCCTGGTAATGTTCGGGGATCAGTCTTGGCAGGCTTGGGGTACCGTATTGGGTGCTGGGGACCAAACTCAGGTCTGCCCCATGCAATGCAAACTCCTTGCCCAATGGAAACTAGTTGCAAGTTGTAAGTGGTAGAGTCTGTACTCTACTCTATTTTAAAAAGCACATGCACAAATTTTTTAAGATAGGCTTTATAATGAATATACTTTGCTAGGATCTATAGTATATGTAATTCCTTTTGCTCCCACTGTACGGTTTTTGTGCATTTAATTCAGGTTCCTCAACAAATGATCTTTGAGGGAACTGGTTTTATCTTAAATTTTTTATCACTTTCTGAAAATCATAATTTCATCATCTTAAAAGTCTTCAGTAAATCTTTTGTATAAGTAAACTTTCTTTTCCCCCCCCTTTTTTTCTTTCAGGTATATTCAAGAGCAAATGATCAAGAACCATGTGGATGGTGGTTGGCTAAAGTTCGAATGATGAAAGGAGAAGTAAGCAGTGTTAATACCAGCTTTGTGACTTGTTCCCAGGAAAATATTCCGACTCTTTGTTTTGATTCTGAAAGTGTACTTCAGAAGTAGTTGATCACTTCAAGCATTCGTTAGGTCTATAACTTTCTGTTTGTGTCCTGAATTTGTAAATAGTACAGCTCCTCTTGAGTGATGCAGCACAGACAAGTGAGGACCCTCCCGAAGTTGATGCTCATAAGAATCTATACTCTTGTTCAGGCAGTTTAGATTAATGGGCCTCAACTGTGCTTAGTGTTTGTGCCACAAGGGGCAGGTTAAGCTGGCTAAGGTAATTAGAACTTCATTTGAAACTAATTATTTTCATTCAGATGGGATTTTTAAAGTATTTTGATGTCTTTTAGTTTTATGTCATTGAATATGCTGCTTGTGATGCCACTTACAATGAAATAGTCACATTTGAACGACTTCGACCTGTCAATCAAAATAAAACTGTCAAAAAAAATACCTTCTTCAAATGCACGGTGGATGTTCCTGAGGATTTGAGAGAGGCGTGAGTAATTTTGTTTACTGTTTAATTGCCTTGTGAATTAAGAGGATTTTTAGTGTTACAAAAATTCCAAACATCTAATTATAAACCTTCTGATAGAAAATCTTTTAATAAATACAAAGTTTTAATGGCTGGTTTAAAATTGAACTACTGAGTTAGAATGATAGTTGTCCTCTAAATTTAATTTATTATTTAGGTTTTATACATGAATTAATTTTTCCTTAGGTGTGCCAATGAAAACGCACATAAAGATTTTAAGAAAGCAGTAGGAGCTTGCAGAATTTTTTACCATCCAGAAACCACGCAACTAATGATACTGGTAAGATAATTTGTTTTAAATGATCTAATGCATCTGACATGGATTTTTAATTAAGCATTGCAAAAGATCAAAGCAATATTGATGTAAATTAGTGTAAGAAAAAGATTTAAGAAAACTTTTTGCATTCAAAATTTAATTTTTAAAAATCTTCTGAAGTGAAGAGGAAAAACATTTTAATGCGGCATTTTTAATATAAATTTAAGATGTTGGATTCTTGATTTTCCTTCTACTATAATTTGAATTAGATTTAAATAATGTGGAATACAGAAAGAAAAATAGAATTACTTGGGAGGAAGGAGTTTAAGTGAAGATAAAGTAGATAAGGCTTTATGTAGAAAGTCCTTATTTATATTATCTCGAAAAATGATTGCATTTTTGTGTGTGTCATTAACATGTTTGTTTATAGTCTGCCAGTGAAGCGACTGTGAAAAGAGTAAATATATTAAGTGACATGCATTTGCGAAGTATTCGTACAAAGTTGATGCTTATGTCCAGAAATGAAGAGGCCACTAAGCATTTAGAAGTAAGTGAATTTGCTCCTGTTTGTCATTTAATTTCTAAGCATATTATTCAAGTTTGCTGTTTTAAAACAATTTATTATTAGGTAAGATAACGTAGGCAAAATCTGGAGTCATGCCTTAGGGAATTATTTTTTCTTTTTCTGTTAACTGCTCTCAAGCCATAAGCTTTTGTTTGGTAAATGCCTGTTGTTTTGTTCTCCCATTTATTTTTTTATTGTCTTGTTGCTGAGTGTTTTTTTTTTAATCACCCTCTTAGCTATCACTCGAGACACGCTTCTTCACTAGTTTCCATCAGCAACTTGTATACAATGAGAGGAGGCCACGCAATGAATAGTTTTTATAAAGATCCAGTCATTGCTTCTCTGTCCTCTGGTATTCGCGTTTTCTCAAAACGTTCTCTGATGTTGAGACTATTCAGAAATGTCTCACCCTGTTCTGAACTGTTCCCCCAGTACATACACAGAGAACTCCATTTTAGATCATTTGAGGTATGCTTGTCTTTAAGGAAGTACCAGTTTCCTTATTATTTGAAAAGTTGCAAAACTTTGCATGAGGAACACTTGAAACATGAAACATCTGAATTGGAGGATTGCTTATGTCCATAATTTAAAATTACTAAATGTAGCATATACCAATTTAGAGCAAAATAATTTTCATTGTTTGTGTAAGTTGACATTTTGTCATAGATCAGTGGACATTTGAGTGTTTATATCTTAAGACTATTTTGAAAATGTTTTGAACATATATACACTTTAAATTTATTACTTAACTAATCTAAGTTTCTTTTTACTAGTGCACAAAACAGCTTGCAGCAGCTTTTCATGAGGAATTTGTTGTAAGAGAAGATTTGATGGGCCTGGCAATAGGAACACATGGTAGTAATATACAGCAAGCTAGGAAGGTTCCTGGAGTTACAGCTATTGAACTAGACGAAGATACTGGAACATTTCGAATCTATGGAGAGGTTGGTTTTTGATCTGCATCTCCGGTAGCTTAGTAACATTGACTGTTGTTTGATAATTTATCTGGAATTTCAGTTACATAAGAAAATTATGAACTTATGCTCATTCAGGGTTCTTTGAGGATAAACTATGTTTGAGGGAATGAAAGATTTACTGAATCTTTAATGTGAACTTTGGGGAAAATTTTTTTCCCATTATTTCTTTTTATGGGATGGGGTGGGGTTTGGGAACCACATCTGGTATTGCTAATGGTTTGCTTCTGGTTCTGTGCTTAGGAATTAACTTCTGGTGGTGGGATATCAGCTGGGATGCCAAGGATCAAATCCTGGTCAGCCGCATGCAAGGCAAACAACCCTACCCACTGTACTGTCACTCTGGCCCAGTACTTTTGGGAAATTCCTAACTGCCTCTGAACCTAACTAGTTTTATGTTCATTAGCATAGCTTATTTGTATATTTCTAAGCGCTTGCTGCTGGCCAAGCTTGCCTATTTTATATTCTGTAGTACATAAAATAGCTTTTGTAATACTTGTATTTGGATAATATTTTGTCTGTGATTTATGGTGACTGGAAAATAAGTAATTCAGACTTTTACTGAAAAATAATGCATAATTTTTATTGAAAACAGTTTGCATATGGGGGGGGTGATTTTTCCAAGTCTCTTCTTCTGTAAGTCATGAAAATCTGTAGGTCTAGTTTTTATTTCTGAAACCTTTATTTATTTTGCTTTTTGGGTCATACCCAGCATTGCACCGGAGCTACTTCTGGCTGATGCACTCAGGAATTACTCCTGGCAGGTGTTTGGGGGACTATATGGGGTGCTGGGAATCGGACCCAGGTTGGCCGCATGAAAGGCAAACACCCTACCCTGCTGTGCTAGCGCTCCAGCCCCTATTTCTGAAATCTTTAGAAGTGGACTGTATAACTAAGATAATTAAGACAAAAGGCTTTGAAGTCAGACTGCCTGAATTCAAATTCTGAACAGATCTGGAAAAAGTTACTTAACACCCTGCATAGTTTTTCTTCATTAATGATGCTTTATAAAGACACTAATTGCTAGTGTCTTAATCCAGTTTCTGAGGATTATATTATGATATAGTGACCTATAGTTATTAAGAAACAGAGTAAAAGTTGAATCTAACTCTCACTTTTAGAGCGATACTCTTGTGCCCTCCCCCTTCCTGTTCTGTAAAAATTATATCCATTAGAAATTAAAATAATTGTACTTTAAAAATGTATCTTTGCCAAACTAAATAGTACATTTTTTTTCTGTTCCTGAGAATAAAAAACTAGAGAGAGAGTTAAGATCATTGAAAAAAATTTCAACATTTACCGAGAGAAACATGCCAGTATATCTTAGGGAATATCACTGAGTATATTTAGGATTGGGGAAAGAATGTGACCAGCATAGATCTCTAATTCCTGCTTGTTTTCTCAGAGGCTTAGAGAAACCTTAGAGATGTCTATGCTTTGATTCTAACAGTATTTTTCACTTAACCTCTTAATTTTATTTTTTATGTACTTAATGTATTGTTGTAAGTGTGGTTCTAGAGTAGAGGGCTCCATACTTAATCTAGGCCTTTTTTGGGAAAAGAAACCATTGAGCCACCTCTCTCTTCAGACCCCCAGACCTATCTTCTTTCTCTAAGCAGAGAGTACTCCCTAATTGTCCCAAGGATACTTCAACAACCCCTAAGGCCCTGACTTTGGGAATCTGTGTTTTCAACCATTTCCTGCTACTGTCCTCTTCAGACCTTGTTTTCTTCTTGCCGCTCTCATGTACCACAGGTCGACCTGGTCTCTGTGTCTGCCTGTTCCCTTTACCCCCCATCATTCTCATCTGGGCCGTACTGTTCTGAGGACCTATCGGGCGCCCTCTGGCTCCCAGATGACAAATGCCGCTCTAGAGGACTGAGCAGGATCTTATACTAGGACTTAATTTTGTTTTTCTCAGTTCTTACATTTTTATTTTGGATTATGGGTTTTTTCAGGTCTGAAGAATTTCATGTTTGTTTTCCCTCTCCCATCTACAGAGTGCTGATGCTGTAAAAAAGGCTAGAGGTTTCTTGGAATTTGTGGAGGATTTTATTCAGGTTCCTAGGAATCTGGTTGGTAGGTACTTAAACTAAATGTTGAATAAGTTAAATGTTGAAGTTGCTTAATGGAAACTGATATTGTTTGATATTTTAGTTGGTTACATGGAGTACCTGGATAGCAACACTTATTTGATTTAGTGACCTAAATTATATAACACAACGTGCATCACCTTATGTCATTTTTTAAAAATGAAGGTTTTATTTCTACCCATTCATACCAAACATGATATTATAACTATAACATTTAGTTACTGCGGTTCTTCTTAAGACATTCCCTCCCTTGGGTTCTTCTTACCCCTAATATCTTTTAATCATTCATGTAGCCATCAAAATTGCCATAAGTACTTTTTGAGAAGGTGTTTGTGATAATTTTTTTCTTTTGTTTAGTGCAGAAGAAAAAGTAACAGTGGATTAAAAATAGGGTAATAAACTTCTACACAATAGGCCCTGAATAAATAATAATTGGTTGTTGCAAAGGCATAGAATAAGGTAAGAAGTCACGGGCAGGAGAGAAGGATGGTGCCGATGAGGGGAGGTTTCACTGTTCCATTCTGACACCATTAACACACAATCTTTGCCCATGGTTATAAATTGACAAGTTTCTATTCCAGGGATTTTGTTTGGGATGAGTTGCTTTAATAAACTCTGAGTTTGTTATCTATTCTTTTATTTTAAATACTGTTTGAGAAAATGGATAAGTTTCGCTCATACTTGAAATACTCAGTGATTGTCCAAAAAATTTAACATGCAGTTCAGTATCAACATTAAGTATTGGAGTTACTGGGAGAACAAGTTTTTGTCACCTTTGGTGTCTCTTTTTTTGCATGGGGGCAATTCCTAGTTGATGGTGCTCATGCCTGCTTCTGAGAGTGCTTGGGGACCGACACGTTATGCCTTGAACCACCGCAAGGTTCACATGCAAGGCCGGTGTCTTAGCAAGGCCCTAGCCTGGATCCTGGTCCTCCCTGTTTCTTGATCTTACTGAGTAGTTTGAGGCTTCTGGGCTCCATTCACTCATAATCAGACCTGCTTTATCTTCAGGAAATAAGATCTTTGCTATTGGTGCTTTTGTCAAAATCTCCTAAAATTTGTAAACAAGAGTTTTTGTAAAACCATCATTTTGAGTAGTGGCAAGTAGTGTACTTGTGATAAGTAGTCTATAGTATAAGAATTTGGAAAGTTTCTGGTATCCCGCTATTTCCAATTCTGCCTAAACATCTAAGATACATTCCCAGTCTAAGATACATTTCCAGTTAAGATTCTCTCTCTCTCGCTCCCTCTCTCGCTCTCCCTCTTGCTCTCCCTCGCTCCCCCTCCCACCTTCCTCTCTCTCCCCCCTCTCCCTTCCCCCCCCTCCTCCCCCTCTCTTCCCTCCCCCTTCCCTCCCTGTTGTGGAGGATTGAACTAGGGCTTCACATATGAAAAGCATAAACTCTAGAACTGAACCACATACATCCTGGGCCCCAAGTAAGCTTTTTGAAGTCGGTTTTTGGGAACCGTTTTTCTGTAGACAGAATTGCTACAGAGATGTTAAAATTGAATGTAAGATAGTTACTGTGCAATTTTAATCAATTCTAAAATAAAATGCTGCTAAGTGTTTATCATTGCTGAAGAAATAATTTGAGAAGAGACTGCTTTTAAAATTGATTCTCTATGTTTATTTAAATACTAATAATTGTTATGAGTACTAACATTATGGTTGTTGCTTTTATAATTTAACTTAGGTTTCTTCACTTGTAAAAATAATTTGGAGGTGAGTGTGTGCAAGGAATTCAGGGCTCTTTCTAAACTAGCAATTCTGCAGAAAATAGCCCAGAGTTCATGGTAAATTTTGAGTAAAAATTACAGATATTTAAGAAATAAAGGAAAGAAGATACATTTGTGGATCTCTGGTCTTTTTCCATTATATATGCAATGTTATATGTCCTGTTTTTCTAGATCCTGTCTTTGTTCATTTTAGCGATTTGGATTCTTTGAGTAGTCCTTTTTAAGAAAATTTACACTGATATTTTGGTGAAATACTCAAAAGTAGTGTAAAGATATAAATTGGTGGTAGTCCATAATATATGGGTGGACAGTCTTGATAACGGGACATTCTTAGTTTAATGAAAGAGAAAAAAGAGCACCGAGGAAAGGGATAGAGGATCACTGGTGGGTAAGTTTCGTAGAAGGTTCCCTTTACACATTGGATTACAAAACTCTGGAATTGATCATCATTCCTCTTCCAAATCAAAAGCTTACTGTGTGGACTTATATTTTACTGTCGGAAAGTTGATTTGCAAAGGAATCAGAACCTTTCACATCCTAGAAGCCTTCCTTACACATAACTACTCTGTTCCTTCACCTTTTTATGCTCACGCTCAATTTATACTACAGGTCTGCTTCAGTTTGTCAATATACTTTGGAATTAAACTATGAAAATGGTCAATTAAAATATTAACCGCCTCTGGTGGGACTAATAAAAGTTGCAGGTAGGTTCCTGCCAAGGACCCCAGATGGTGATGGATATTCATTCACTGCTGGTATAATCGAGAGAAGGAAGGGGCACATTCCGGGGGAGGGAGTATGGTATATCTACTTGGTTCTTGTTTTTTCCCGGTAGATCTTGCTTTTTTCACTGAGTCGAGGATGGAGTTGCTGCTTGAGTTTTAGTGGGTTAACAGTAAAAGTTGCTTTTATATACTGCTACTAGGGCTTTTTAATGGTGTATTGTGTGAATTCCATGTTGTTCTCTGTTTTAAAAACTATTGCTGATGATTTTAACCCTAAGTGTACAGTTACTAATGGGGGTGAGGTTTAGGTATAGGGATAGAGAATTTAAAACTTACTACGGTATTGGCCAGTTTATCATTTCTGTTATTCCCCCCTCCCCTTTTTTTCCTATTAATGGAAAAGGTTCTCTCAAGAATGCATTGGGGAAACATTTGCATTTTAACCCTTTTAACCAAAACTTAATTGAGAAAATAGATTGCTGATTAAAAGTTTATGGTTTTTTTTGTTTGGTTTTATTTTTGAGCTATACCTAGTGCTGCTCTGGGGTTACTCCTGGTGGTGCTCTGGGTACCTTATATGTTGCCTGGTATTAGCCCTGGTTGGCCTCCTGCAAGGCTAATGACATACCCTACATACTATCTCTCCAACCCTGTTTTAATTTTTTTTTTTTTTTGCTTTTTGGGTCACACCCGGCGATGCACAGGGTTTAGTTTACTCCTGGCTTTTCACTCAGTAATTACTCGTGGCGGTGTTCAGGGGACCATATGAGATGCTGGGAATCAAACCCGGGTTGGCCGCGTGCAAGGCAAACACCCTACCCACTGTGCTATCTCTCCAGCCCCTTGTTTTAAATTTTTTTAAAGGAAGGTTTTGGTTTTGGGCCATATTGGTAGTACTACTCCTGGCTTGGTGCTTGGAGTCACTCCTGACTCATTCCTGATAGTATTCTGGGGATCATGCAGGGCCAGTAATTCAACCCAGGTCTCCTGAATGCAAAGTATGTACTCCAGCCCATTGACCTATCTTTCTGGCCTTGTTTGCTGACTTAATTTTTAAAAGTGAACTGAAAGTATTAATTTAATAAAAGGAATTTAATAATACACTGTTGCTATTAACTTTATAAAGACACATTTGCTTTGTATAATTAAGATTGCCTTTATATTTCTATCACTGGTTAACTGTTACACCCATTACTGCTTTGTGTGATATCTTTATAATTAGTACTTTCTTATGGGAAGGGTCTTTTTACTTCCTTTCGTTTCTCTTTTAATTACTGAACACTCAATACTGCATTTGACAAGTTAATGTGGAGAAGGTGAATGATTTGCATTTTATGTCATTTTATAGTATTTTGGTTATAGGAAGAGTGAGTATACTATATACATGCTGTGCATATTTGTATAGCTATGGAGTGCACTGTAAATGTATAAAATGTACACATTTTATTTCTACTAAGAGGATATTTTAAAGGTAGCTTTTCAGTCATAGATATCTTGAACAAATAGAAACTTGAAAATAGACATGACAAATTATTAACTCCGTAATATTAAAAAGTTGACATGAATGCCAAAATTATTTTAAAGGTATTTAATGTCTTGATATGTGTTTGACTTAATATCTCTAAAGTGTAGAAATTGCGTAAGGCATACTAAGAAAAGTCTTGATTTTGAAAATTTTTACTATGAGCAATCACAGCTAAGGTAGACTTAAAGTACACTAAACAAAATGGGGAAGTTTCAGGATAATCATAAAACTTCTACAGTGTTTAGAGTTAACTGAGAATAAAAAGATGGAGATGGAACTTTGCCTTTTACTTATTTGTATTTTATTTATTTTTTTGAAGTGGAAAAGAGATGGCAAGTTTTAACTTAGTATATTTGTTTTTTTATTAAAGGAAAAGTAATCGGAAAAAATGGCAAAGTTATTCAAGAAATTGTTGACAAATCTGGTGTAGTTCGGGTGAGAATTGAAGGAGATAATGAAAATAAACTCCCTAGAGAAGATGTAAGTATTCAGATACAGTTTAATTACTAGACTGCGTTTTTTTTTTTTATGTTCTTTTCTGGCCTAATATTTTATCTTGTTTTGTAGAAATAGTTTTTGAAGGAGTTACGTTTGGTTGGCTAATTAACATTGATGCAGTGGTAATTTCTTTATTAAAATTTCATTTCTTAGACTAAGTATTGCTATAGCCATGTCATTAAAAAATTTTGTGCTTTAAGTTCTCTGTTGGCTTCTCAGTATTTCATTAAAACTATTCTATTTAGTTTTTGTGTTTTGTGGGGAGGTCATACCTAGCAATGCTCAGGGGTTATTCCTGGCTCTGCTCAAGAATTACTCCTGGCAGTGCCTGGTGGAACCCTGTGGGATGCCAAGGATCAGACCTGGGTCAGTTGCATGCAAGGCAACTGCCCTTTCCATTGTATTGCTTTGATTCTCCAAATTTTTTTTAAAAGGTTTTGGTTTGATAGTCTTTCATAGTTTATATCTCAAGCAAAAAGCTGCCGATTTGATACCCTCAGTGAAAGTTCTAAATTACTCTTTATAAATTACAATTTTTTGTTGTTTTTGGACCACACCCCAGTGATACTCAGGGGTTACTCCTGGCACTGCACTCAGGAATCTCTCCTGGTGGGCTCAGGGGACCAAACGGAATGCGGGGTCAAACTGGGGTCAAACTGCACCATGTGCAGAACAAGCACCTACCTGCTGTACTAGTGCTTTAGCCCCATCTATAACATTTCTTAATCGAAATCTGTTCGACTATTTTTTTGCTAATAAATTTCTTAACATTTCTGAAAAGCTTTTTTTTTCAAAGGGACTTGTGGTTTGGTCTCTACCCGGTGATGTGAATATAGGGGGTGATACTCCTCTAACTTTGTGCTTGGTGTTTTTGGTGGTGCTGATGGGCCATGTATTGCCAGGAATTGAACCTGAGCCTCAGCTGATGGTTGCTATCTCTGGCTGCTAAAATTTTATCAATTTTATCACCTAAAGATGTTTGTCCACAGTTCTGCTCTTCATACTTCATAAAGCATTCAAGGACTTCTGAACTTTGTGGCTTTAGTGATCAGTTTTTTAAACTTTGTGTGCTCTCTTAAGAAAGCATTGCACTTGCTGCTTCAATTTGGCTGTGTGGGTTTTGTTTTTGTTTTTTCTCTTTAATTGAATCACCGTGAGATAGACCATCACTAAGTTAGACCATTGTGAGAATTGGGTTTCAGTCATACAGTGTTCCAGGGCTGGAGTGATAGCAAAGCGGTAGGGCGTTTGCCTTGCTCGCAGCCAACATGGCCGACCCGAGTTCGATTCCTCCGCCCCTCTCGGAGAGCCCAGCAAGCTACCGAGAGTATCTCGCCTGCATGGCAGAACCTGGCAAGCTCCCCGTGACGTATTTGATATGCCAGACACAGTAACAACAAAGTCTCCAATGGAGACGTTACTGGGCCCGCTCGAGCAAATCGATGAACAATGGGAGGACAATGACATACAATGTTCCAATACACGTCCCTCCACTAGTGTACATTTCCCACCACTAATGTCCCCAGTTTCCACCCCCACCCACCCTCACCTGCCTCTGTTGTTGGTACCCTTTTTTTTAAATGTTATTTTTTTATTATTTTATTAAGACATCATTATTTACAAAGCTTTTCATCACTGTCACTCTCACTCTCCACCCGTCGTTCATTGATTTTCTCACGCGGGCTCAGTAACGTCTCCATCGTGAGACTTGTTACTGTGTTTGGCATATCGAATATGTCACGGGTAGCTTGCCAGGCTCTGCCGTGTGGGTGAGATACTCTGTGTAGCTTGCCGGTCTCTCTGAGAGGGGCGGAGGAATTGAACTTGGGTCGGCCATGTTGGCTGCGTGCAAGGCAAAAGCCTTACACGCTGTGCTATTGCTCCAGCCCAGTACCTTTTTTTTTCCCCCTCCTTTTGTGCTTTATTGTTGGCAGTACAGGTTCTAAGATATGTTCAGGGCGTTCAGTATTTTTATTGGGAAGGTACATCTGGAGTAGCTTTTTCTTAACTAGGTGTTGGCTTTGGGGTGCAGATGTGACTGCCAGGGCTTCTGGAAGTACAGGAAGGTGGGGGAATGTAGCTCATCCTGACCCTGAGGAAGCATGGAGATTTCACTCACAAAACCCGAATATCTTAATTTTCAGCAGATTAATGTCTCAGGACATCTGTCCCAAGATGGTGGACTCCGGCTAGGGCATAGCAGTGGTTTTGGATTGTGGGAGCAAGCACTTGCTGGGGGCTCTGTTTGCGGGGAGAGACCCCCCATGATGTACCCAGTCTAATCATTCGTGTGCTGCTTTGCTCGGGTCCGGGATTAACTGCGTCTTTTGAGATTTATGTAAGGGTCTCTGTAGCAGTCTGATAAATGAGCATGTGTGGGTGAGTCAGTGGTGGTTTGTGGGCCTGGCTCCACATACTTAATTTTTGGTGGTTTCATTTCTTGGGAATCTTGGTCCTGAGTTGTTGGAGTTCAGCCAGAGGCACAGCGATGACTTTGGGTTGTCAGGAAGCCTGAAGGCACCATCAGGCTACTGATTCCCTCATGCTGTGGGTCTGGGTTGACCTGCTGGCAGTACCAGCGCCCAGTGGGCCCCAGTGGTGGCAGCAGCTCCAGGAGGGACCAGGACCAGGGCTGCCACAGTTTGCAGCCTGAGTGCTCTGGGAGGGCCACAGTCATCAGTCCAGCAGAAGCTGGAGGGGAACACACGCCCCCAATCTGGGTCTCTAGATAGTTGGTGTGCAGGGAGGTTTTCCTCCTTAATATGCTGCGGGTGGCATGGGCTGGCCCAGCAAAGAAATGGTGGTGAATCATTTAGCTGGGGAAAACTGGATGTTAGTAGCACCAAAAAACATGCAGGTATCATGTAATGACCCTGGCCAGTAAACATCCTAATTCAGTCAGGTGGGCCTTGAGCTCTGGAACTTGCACCTCACGGTTGCGCCAACGTGAGCCCTGAAGAGCCCTGTTGAGATGTGTTAAAACTGTCCCCGCCCATAGTGCCGAGAGCACTATGTGGTAGCTCTGCCCTCTTGTCGGCCAGTGTCATTTAATGGTGCTCTCCCTGAGACAGTATCCAAGGGACACCCACATTCAAGAAATTTCATGACCCCCATAGGCTGTTCAGAGCACTGAGAGCTGCGGTTCCTCCTCCAGGTCTGCACTTACCCCTGCACCAGCACCACTGTCACCACTTCTGTTTCTCACTGTTGAGAGTGGTTTGTGTATTGGATACAGTCAGTTTCAAAGTAAAAGACAGCCAGACACTGATCAGATAAAAATAACTTCGTATCAAATATGAGATGGTTCCTTTCTATTAGTTACAAGTATACACTTAAAAAATGAGGCTGGAAAAATAATAAAGCAGTATTGCATTTGCGTTGCATATGCCTGACCCAGGTTTGATCTCCAGATCGGATATGAGCACTGCCAAGAGTAGTCCCTGAGCTTAGAGCCAGGAGTAAGCATTTGAACATCATTGGGTATAGCTCCACACCCAAAATTTAAGTAAGAAATAAATGAGTGCCAGAGAGCTGGGTCAGTGTACTGGAGATGGCTCATGGATTGCAAGTGGGTGGCCTAGGATTGATTCCCCAGCACTGCATCATCCCATGAGCACTACTGGGAGCAACCCTAGGAGCATAATGTCTGTAATGGCTCCCAAACAGATAAGGGCTCAAGTGCATGTGGGAGCCCAAGTTTGATTCCTGACACAAGATGAACAGTCTCATGATCACCGCCAGTAGCTGCTGCTTAAAGCTCTGAGTGTACCCCCTCCCCATTAAATAAATAAATAAATAAATAAATGAGAAAAAAACAAACGTCTTAGATTCATACAAGTCTTGAGACTCTGTTTTGATTTTTGTTTTTGTTTTTTTAATTTTTATTAGTGAAACACTATGAGGTGCAGTTGTAGACTTACATATTTTTGTGCTTGGGTTTCAATTAAGACTGTTATTTCCAGGGCTGGAGTGATAGCACAGCAGGTAGGGCGTCTGCCTTGCACACAGACAACCCGGTCCACCCAGGTTCGATTCCTCCGCCCCTCTCAGAGAGCAAGCTACCGAGAGTATCTTGGCTGCACAGCAAAGCCTGGCAAGCTACCCGTGACGTATTCGATATGCCAAACACATAACAAGTCTCACAGTGGAGACGTTACTGGGCCCGCTTGAGCAAATCGATAAGTAATGGGAGGACAGTGCTACAGTGCTTCTAAGAGTGCTATAAATCTCAAATTGTAGTTAAAGAAATGACCTCCTTTATTAATCACAGATCCTACCTGCCTGAATTAGGATCTTTACTGGGCAGGGCCATTAAATAATACCTGTATGTTTTTAAGTGCTTCTAATACCTAGTTTTCCCTTAGCTTACCTTATTTCTTGTTACAATTTAATAGTATTTAGTATTTTCTGGCAGTTTTTTTCCCCTCAGATTGTGTGTGTATGTATATATATGTATATACATATATATACATATATATATGAGAATTTAATGTATTTTCTAGTGTTTGTAGTTGGGTTCTTTGCCAGAATTGACAAACTTAAATACTGAAACCAAATAAATGATATAAATGCGTAAGTAGGATACGAAACAGGAGAAACCGTAAGTGCCTTTCTGTAAAAGAAATGTGATGTTCAGTTTTAGTTTGGGTGTCCTATGGGGAATGCATGCATTAGGAATTGCTGTATGTTATATTTTTAGAAGTAAGCTTGAAAACAGTACACAATTTTTAGTTGTCAAAGCATTACGTGTTAAAATCTATAGATTTATCTGGGACTGCTTTTAACTTTTTTTCTTTTTTTGTTGGGACACACCTGACTGTGCTCAGAGCTCACACATCAGTGTTTGGGAGGACAGTGGGTGCCATGGAGCCCAAGTCAACTCCGCCCATCGTACTGTTTCTCAGGTCCCTACTCCTAACATTGTAACCTGTCCACATACACGATAGATTTGGTTTACAACTTGTTTACTTTAAAATCTGATGACTCACATCTATTGTGAGAAGACCTTTCCTGTCTAAACATAACCGTGGTCTGTAGTTAATGATTTTTCTCTCAGCTTTATGTTTTGTCTTTTGTCTCTGAATCAGATCATGAATACATGGAAGTTGAGAATCGAATTGAAATTAAATGAATTTTCACTACTATTATAAGTTGTATAGAGTATAACTCGAATGATTAATAGGTCTTTGGGCTATATACAACAGTGCTTAGATGCTACTTTTTTAATATTTACAACGGGGTTTACTCCTGGTGGTACTTGGGTGCTTTACGTAAAACTTTAGGTACTAAGGGTCAAATCTTTGCTCCCTGCTTGCCAGCCAGTCATGTGCTCTGTAATTTTTTTTTTTTTTGGTTTTGTTTGGGTGGGGTAGCACTCAGTGGCACTCAGTGTTTGCTTCTTGCTCTATGCTCATTTATCACTCCTAGCGGTGCTCAGGGGGACATTTGCAGTTCTGGGGATTAAATCAAAGGCAGCAGTATGCAAAGTGAGCACCTTAACTCTGTACTCTCTCTGACTTCTGCTTTAGAAGCCTTCTTCCCCATTCTTAATAAATACTTCAGATCAGTTATTGGATTAAGGTTTTTGAAAGATTTGAATTTATATTTCTTTTGAGGAGTCCTGCAGCAGTGTTTTAGGGGCCACTTTTAGCATTTCTGCCTGTTTCTACTTGTACTGTCTTTCTGGCCCCAGGTTCTTTTTTACCCTCTTCATTTTTTGTTGACTTTGCATTTTCTTTTACTTGACTGAATTCCTAAGCGATAGGGTTGGGACATCCTCACTTTTAAGTTAGAATCCTGTTTCTTGCCTTCACTGTTGTAATTACTGTGGTTTGTATTTGTTTATTTTTGCCCCACACTGGAGGTAGCGTTATACCCAGAAAGTATTTAGGGGACCCTGTGGTAATTGAACCCAGGACTTCCACATGCAGAGTATATGTTCCATCTTTTTGAGCCCTATAGTTAGGTGTAAGCCTTTTTAGTCACTACAGCACTCTGTATCCTTAACATTTGCCCAGGTGCCTTTATTTAGTTTTCCACATCTAAATTGCTCAAATTGAAAAGAATAAGCTTGGAAATAAATCATTGAGTGCCTTATCTAGAATCATAAGTTCATCTTTTGAGGAATCGGGGTCTTACCTGACATTGCTTGTGGGCTCCTGCCAGCCACTTGGGGCTGTATCTAGCAGTGCTTGGTTTGGAGCTCAAGCCGCAGCCAGTGAAGCGTGCTCTCATCTCGTTGAGCTGTTGCTCTCCCACCCAGAATCAAACATTGGGCTGTGTGTCGCGCTGGCCTAGGTTCTTAAATGCACAGGCTGCTGCTCTCTGCATGTGTAAGGCTCCTCTGCCTTCCACCTCCCCAAATTCTTACCGCCAGTTTGTTGAAATTACTTGTCAACTGTACTGTAAAATCAAGAAGAAAAAAACTGAAATTGAATTAGGCTTTTGTAGGAATTAAATTTAAATTTTTTTAAAAAATGCTATTAAAATTTAACACATTAAACTTAGATCTGTTCTTCCTTTATTTCTTCAGTCTGTGAACCCAGGCTCCCTGTTTACCACTGAGCCACATTCCTAGCCTGCTCTGATTAGTTTTACTACCACCATGAGTATTTGTCCCCCCACAACTTCCCCCGCCATCAGAAGTTTTTGAATTTTGCATTGTAGACATTTATATCCTGTACTAATGCTTGAAACACTCTTGCAAAAATATTGAGTTAGTTTTTGAGCATGTACTGTAGGGTTAACCAGATCACTGGACTTGATTATTTTATTAAAGCAGTTCCACTAAAGATGATACATTTAGCCAGGAAGTTCATGCCAGTTTTTGTTTCCTTTTCCCTTCTTTTGTACTTCGTTTTGGGGCCACACCCAGAAACTTAGGTGTTACTTCCAGTGGTGCTCAGGGGAACTCTGGCTTTAGGGATTGAACATTCATTCATTCCAGTTGTTTAAGCTATATCCTCAACCTGAAGAAAGATTTGGAATCTAAAGAAATCAGATTGAATTAAGTTGTAAAAGCTTGATAGGAACGGATTGTAGAAGGAACAAGTTTTTAGCACACTAAGTTTTACAAGGTTTCTTTATTTTGGTTCTTCCTGGTGGTTCTCGGGACACGCAGAGCCATTTGAGAATTTTCAGTCAATCAGGACAGTAGTTCAGTGCTAGACCCATGGATGAGATAATAATTAGGTCTTGAGGTGAATGTGAATATTATATGTAATATGAATATGATCAGCAGTTAAACAGTTCAGTATGCCCAAATTACTGATATTTAGCAAATTATTTTTAAATTTTAAATTTAGTAGATATAAAATGCTCTGTATCTTAAAAAGCTTTTCTGATACCTTGACATGTCATATTTATGCTAGAACTTTGTTAATAAAACTTGTACTTTGTGTTTTCTTACAGGGGATGGTTCCATTTGTATTTGTTGGCACTAAAGAAAGCATTGGAAATGTGCAAGTTCTTCTAGAGTATCATATTGCCTATTTAAAGGTTTGTAATCTTTAATTCATATCTTTGTTGTTCCAGGTGTAAAATTTTTTCCTTTGTGCTAAAGTTTTTAAGTATTTTGTTAAATAGCTTTAAAATGAAAAGCCTTTTGTGATAATAACATTTTATGCATATTTCTCTCTTGAACTATCTCAGTTTTTTTCTTTAATATTTAAATCTGCTAGTTACTGGTTTTGGCATATCGAATACACAACGGATAGCTTGAGAGGCTCTGCTGTGCGGGCGGAATACTCTCGGCAGCTTGCCAGGCTTTCCGAGGGGGATAGAGGCTTTTGGGGTGACCTCTAATAGCCCTCGTAGGTGTTACCATATTTGAACCCTATCAAATATGATACGGCAATTCAAGAAGGGAGACATCCATGACATTGGCAACTATCGCCCAATCTGCCTATTGTCTGTCATCTACAAGTTGTTCACTCGAGTCATCCTGAATAGGATTGGCAGAATACTAGATGAAGGACAGTCATGCGAGCAAGCCGGGTTCCGCAAAGGATTCAGCACCATCGACCATATCCACACGATAACCAAGCTCATTGAGGTTTCTCGGGAGTTCAAGATGCCGCTCTGTTTAACGTTCATTGATTTAAAGAAGGCCTTTGATTTTGTTGAGACGGGAGCGGTCATTGAAGCCCTATCCAATCAGGGCATTCAAGCCCAATACATCAGGATCCTCCGTGAGCTGTATTGCGGATTCACTACCAGGATCTCACCATTCTACAAAGAAGTAATCATTGATGTCAGGAGAGGGGTTTGGCAGGGTGATATCATTTCACCGAAACTCTTCAGTGCCACCCTTGAGAACATCATGCGACGACTGGAATGGGAAGGAATGGGAGTGAAGATATATGGTCGGCAACTACACCACCTCTGCTTTGCTGATGACATTGTTTTAATAACACCAAACATTAGCCAAGCGGCACAAATGCTGTCCGTCTTCGACCGTGAGTGTGGAAAGGTCGGACTACAGCTGAATCTTACGAAGACAGTGTTTATGAGAAACAGCCTCGTTCCTGACACCCATTCGCTCTCAATGGAACGACCATCTCCGAATGCAACAGCTATGTGTACCTAGGTCGAGAGGTCAACATGACAAATGACCTGGCACCCGAGCTGCGCAGGAGGAAGAGAGCGGCTTGGAACGCCTTCAAGAACGCCGAAGAAATAGCTAAGAGGACGAAGAACTTCCAGCTCCAGGCACATCTCTTTGATTCCACTGTTCTTCCTGCATTAACATATGCCTCAGAGATCTGGGCCCTACGCTAACAGGTTGAGAACGCTATTCGGGTCTCCCAAAGAGGAATTGAAAGAGCTATGCTTGGAATCACACTTCACTCAAATGAGAGAAAGAATCTGGAGTTCCGACATCCGTCGATGATCAAAAATCAGGGACGCTGTCTCGTTTGCCAAGGTGTCAAAAATCAGATGGGCTGGTCACGTAATGAGATTTAAAGACGACCGCTGGACTAGAGCTGTTACCGACTGGATTCCATGGGATATCAAAAGACTACGTGGCCGCCCACCTACCAGAAGGTCAGACTTCTTCATCAAGATCATGAACGATCGGTTTGAGGCTCTTCGTGTTCCTAGAGCAAACAGACGCCATTGGGCTACACTAGCACACGACAGGGACAAATGGAGACGTTACTAGCGCCCGCTCGAGCAAATCGACGATTAACGGGAAGTCAAGTGATCAAGTGATTTAAGAAACATTGTTTTATCTTCCTGTAATTTGATTCTCATCTACATATTTTGTTTATATCTTGACCTGTTTTTCGGCACAGCACCAGTAGTGAAATTGCTTTCTTGGTAACTGGTAACTGAATTAGAATTTGGGACCTAGTCACCAATTGATAGTTTTAACTATTGTTTATAGTATAGTGTATTCGCGTTGATAAAGAACAAGGATGCTAGAAAAGATGTTCTATATATCACTAAAAGTTGCAACTGGCATTTTATACTCTTAACTTTTCCCTCTTAGTGTTTCTTTTGCTCAGAGTAAGAATATCCTAGCTGTTCTATCTCTTCTTTATTTTTCTGATAATCTCATTAATCACCATTATCTTAATACTGTGAAGCACTTTCAGTAATTACTGCCAGTTGTCCTGTCTTTACAACACCCCATGCACCATCCCCCCTGGTTTTAAGAGTAAGCAGTGGTCAGGACTTAACTCTTTAATGTCTGTTTCTGTTTTTGTTTGTTTCTGCTTTTGACTTGGGGGCCTCATCTACTGATATTCACAGGTTACTCCTGGCTCTGCACTCCAGAATCATTCCAGTGGTGTAATATGGGGATGGGATGCCAGGGATTGAACCTGGGTCAGCCGTGGGCAAGGCAAATGCCCTACCCACAGTACTATCTAGTCTGACCCCCTTAGTTAATCACTTAATCACTTAATCACTTAATCCCCGTTATTCATCGATTTATTCGAGCGGGTGCCAGTAACGTCTCCATTCATCCCGGTTGCGTGCTAGCGTAGCCCAATGGTATCTGTTCGTTTTAGGAACATGTAGAGCCTCAAACCGATCATTTAGGGTCTTGACGAAGAAGTCTGACCATCTTATAGGTGGGCGTCCACGTGATCTTTTGATGTCTCGTGGAATCCAATCAGTAATGGCTCTAGTCCAGCGGTTGTCTGTAAACCTCATTACATGTCCAGCCCATCTGATTTTTGATGTCTTGGCAAATGAGACAGCGTCCCTGATTCTTGAGCGTTGACGAAGATCAGAACTCCGGATTCTATCTCTCATTTGAGTGAATCGTGATATTCCAGGCATAGTTCTTTCGATTCCTCTTTGAGAGACCCGAATAGTGTTCTCATCCTGTTTTCGTAGGGTCCAGGTCTCTGAGGCATATGTTAATGCAGGAAGAATAGTGGAATCAAAGAGATTTGCTCGTAGCTGGAGGTTCTTTATCCTTTTAGTTATTTCTTCAATGCTCTTGAAGGCATTCCAAGCCGCTCTCTTCCTCCTGCGCAACTCAGGTGCCAGGTCATTCATCATGTTGATTTCTCGACCTAGGTATATATAACTGTTGCATTCGGAGATGGTGGTTCCGTTGAGAGCGAATGGAGCGTCAGGAACAAGACTGTTTCTCATAAACATTGTCTTTGCAAGATTCAGCTGTAGTCCGACCTTTCCACATTCACATATCCACATTCACATTCCATATCCCCTTAGTTAGTCCTTCTAAAAAATTCATTTTTAGAAAAGTTTCAGTCTCACATTCTATGCTCAGGTTTCATCTTCCAGCACACTTGCTACTGCATTTTAATCACCAATTTTCTTGAGACATCAAACTTTAATAGCCTATAATGACCTAAGTTTTGAGGGAGAAAGTCTACTGTTTTAACAAGAGTATCAGTCAGTATCACTATATATTTTTTGATAGACTACCTTTTATTCTTAGGGAAAGGGGGCATTGTTGGCCCACACCCCACAGTGCTCAGAGTATACTCCATACTCCTTGCTCAGGGCTTGTTCTTGGTGATGCTAGGGGGACCAATATGTGGTACCTGGGATTGGCTACATGCAAGGCTAATAATCTGTTTATTATCAATATCTCTGGCCTCAGAGAAACACTTTTCTAGTAGTACTTCCGCCTGTGCTGGTACCTGCACCTCATTTAACAGAAAAATTATGAGGAGTGAATTTGGTAATGGGAAGTTAATGGCTGTCTAATGCATAGTTTATTTTAATGTTCGGCTTGTGAAAATGTCCCTTTGGAGGAATAGAGTCTCTGTCTATGTTTTATAGTGTGTGCTTCTGATACTTTTCATTGTTGACTCATGTTAAGGCAACCTTAGATAAACCTTAGATACTATGTTTTCAGGGAATTACACTTTACCAAAAATTGAAAGATTCTTTAATTACTACTGAGAATAGCTCTGTTGCTTGAGAAGACAAAAATTTACATATAAGATTTATTCCACCCCCCACCCCCCCACCTATTTTCTTCTGTTTCAATTATAGGAAGTAGAGCAACTAAGAATGGAACGCCTACAGATTGATGAACAACTACGACAGATTGGTATGGGTTTCAGACCTTCTTCCACCAGAGGGCCTGAAAAAGAGAAAGGATATGCCACTGATGAAAGTACCGTCTCTTCTGTACAAGGTTCTAGGTCTTATAGTGGAAGAGGCAGAGGTCGTCGGGGCCCTAATTACACCTCCGGTTATGGTAAAAAGCAAACATTTTTTCATAGTTTTAGCTTGGATACTCTTGCTTAATGTATTTTTACTTAGTCTTGTCTTTGAAGATAGGATGTAGTTCTGAGGTATATGTCTTAAAGTAGTAATCTCTTTATAATGGTAAAAGGTAGTAAAAAATTATTTTTGTAAGCAGCTCTGTATATTTTTAAGGTGGCAATATGGTCATGTTTATATGAGAAACTCCTTTTCCAAATATGTCCTTGTACAGTTTCCATATCATTAGTAAAACGCTTGTGGTAGTTGTGATACTCTAAGAACCCTCTTTCTCACCCTAGAGAAAAAAAAATAATAATACCAGTCACTCTTAAGATTGCATAGGCCAACTCTATATTAGCTTTTATTTTTTTTTCATTTTTTTTCATTTTTTATAATTTTATTTATTGAATCACTGTGAGAGCAGTTACAAAGCTTTCAGGTTTAAGTTTTGGTCATACAGTGAAACACCCATACCTTCACCAGTGCCCATTCGCCACCCCCCAAAACCCCAGTATACTCCCACTCCACACCCTCCCCCTACCTGTGGGGCAGATGATTTCCACATTACTCTCTCTCTACTTTGATCACATTCAATATTTTGACACCAGACCCACCATTATTATTTGGGATTTTACCCCAACACTCAAATCTACTGAAAAGGCAACAATAGACAATTTGTTTTCTATTGCTGGTTATGAATAACATATGATGTTTCATGGCTGTAGCAGTGGCCACGAGATTTTGAAAATCGGAAATTTTAACACTTAAATCTGGAGGGATTTCTGCCGAAACCTGCTGGGTTTCGAGATTTCTTCCTGAGTCACTGGGATCATGGCCGTTAAGCAGCTTGATCAGGAGCCAGAAAGGCCGTTCATGGGCGGCGACTTGGGGTCTCATTGGGAAAAGGAGGAAAGGGCAGGCTCCACCCCCATCCCGTGAGGCCCCACGTTGTCTTGTCACTGTGGGCCCAACCTGACTGTCCAGTGGCCTCTTGAGGATAGCGGCCACTGGGCCACTGGGGGGAATGGGCCAAGGCACAAAACCTATTCCCACCTGGGTTGGCCCAGCACCGGTAACCTACTGCAGGGACCGGACGCATTTCCACCAAAAGCCAGTGGGTTTCGAGATTTGTTTCTGAGTTTCTGGGATCATGGCCATTAAGCAGTTCGATCAGGAAACAGAGAGGCCGTGCCTCCAATTATATAGCTGAGACCGAAGTGGTTTGTGGGTGTGTCTCCCACATACCTAACTTCTGGCCGTTTACTTTCTTGGTAAACTTTGCCCCAATTTTTTGCGGTCTGGCCAAAGGCACAAGAGCAATTTTGGGGTATCTGGAAGTCTGAAGGTTGCCATCAGGCTGCTGATGCACTCGCCTCACAGTTACAGATTGACCTGCTGGTGGCACCATACCCCCTATATTAGATTTTTAAATGCACTTTATATTAACAGCATTGAATTAATATCTGAAGATAGTTTTGAAATATAACTCACTAAAACGAGGATTTTGAAACTAGAATCTAACATTTTATAAATGAACAGTCTTATGGTTAGAGTTCAATCTGCCGGAAAGGCCCTGGATTTTATCAACAATCTCAGTATTGGAGTTATTCTGTATTTCTACATTTTGACTTGAATTTTATTAGTGATCTGATTTTTATCTTACTGTATTTATTTTCTCTTTCTCCTCGGTCCTGCTATGGTTATCCTGCTTTGGGAAAATCATTCAATTTTTTTCAAAAACAATTGCCATTTAGGAAAAATCAAAATGCTTGAAAGCTTTACAATGTACAGATTCCACATCTAGATTTTATGTTTGAATGATCATCTAAAGATACCATATGCATGAACTTGTACCAGTTTTTCTTTCGTTACAGAGTTTGGAAGATAATTATCTCTTCCTTTTCATATCTTCTCTGTCTTCAATTCTTGATTTTTTTTTTAAGTATAGTTAACCCTGTACTGATACTGAGAAGCAAAATTTCAGCAAAATTAGTGTTTAGTATGTGAAATACAGAGGATTGTAAATGTTTTAACTGTTAAAATATATATTAATATGAAAATAACTAAAGGTACAAATTACTGTACCTACAGTCAAGTGTGTTTTCTTTGAATGGTAAATTTATTGAAAAATTTTATACGTTTCCGGGAAATTTGCTTAGTAATGAGGTCACTGGCAAAATGATATTGACAGTAGATAATAAATTTGTGTGAGAGTGGTGGAAAAAATGTATATTGAAGAAAACTAAATTGTTCAGTAGATGGCACTCTTCTCTCTAAATCATTGTAGAATAGAACATTTCTAAAATAAACTTTTGAACTGGGTTGAAGAAATACCAGTTGAATTTAGCTAGAAGTAGTTTTGTCTACATAATATTAGAAGGCTGTGATCAATTAATTGTAAACTCCACTGCAGTCGGACCAGCCAAAAATGTTTTTTTGTTCTTTGGGTCACGTCCCGCGATGTACAGGAGTTACTCCTGCCTCTTCACTCAGGAATTACTGCTTGCAGTGCTCGGGGCACTGTATGGGATGCTGGGCATCAAACTTGGGTCGGCTGTGTAAGAGAGGCTGGTGCCCTACCCACTGTGCTATCACTCCAGCTCAGCAGGTAGGGCATCTATCTGCCTGGCATATGGTCACTTGGCCGACCCAAGTTCGATTCCTCCTCCCCTCTCGGAGAACCCGGCAAGCTACCGAGAGTATCTTGCCCGCATGGCAAAGCCTGGCAAGCTCCCCATGGCATTTTCGATATGCCAAACACAGTAACAACAACAAGGCTCACAATGTGAGATGTTACTGGTGCCCGCTCGAGCAAATCGATGAACAACAGGAGGGTAGTGCTAATATTAGAAGGACTTTTTTCTTTTTGGTGTTGGAATTAAACCCAGGGCCTCACCTATGCAAGTCAAGTACTTTACCACTTGGTTTTATCATCCCTGGTTCCAACAGTATTTTTAAGTGACTGTATAAGCTTGTAAGAAGTACATCTGAAGCTGATAGGTGGTGAAAGAGATTTGGGTTTTGGCACATGTCATTTGAAAGGATGAAGAACCATCTTTGTGAGCTGATTTTGGAAATTTTAGAATGGGGAAAACTAAAATCAAAATTTTCTTGAAGGACCTAGAGACATAGTTAAGGTATGCTCCTTGAAATGTGGCCAACTCTGGTTCAAATCCCTGACACTGTATGTTGTTCCCAAATACTTCAGGGCTTCTCAGCACCTCTGGGTATGTGCTTTTCGCACCCCAAGTTCCATTGGAAATGGGTCCTTTATTTGTTTCTGAAATTGGATCTACTTGAATTTTTTTTCTTTTTGTGGCTTTTTGTGTCATACCCGGCGATCCTCAGTGGTTACTGCTGGCTCTGCACTCAGGAATTACTCCTGGCGGTGCTGGGGAACCATATGTGATTCCGAAGATCAAATTTAGGTCGGGTGCATGCAAGGCAAATGCCCTACCCACTGTACTATCTCTCCGGCCCTGAAATTTATTTTTTTAATCTGATTTTTTGGACTGTTTGCAGCAGAGCTCCTGGGCTACTGCTAGCTTGGAGCTTGGGCTGCTCTTCGTGGTGTTCAGGTACCATGTGAATATGAGCCATTGAATCCAGGGTTCCATTGTGCAAAACATGCACTCCAACCCTTTGAGCTGTCTGTTTCCCTGGCCCTGTGAATTTTATTTTGCTTTGGGGGTCTCAGCTGGAATGCCCAGGAGGTCTTCCTCCTGGCTCTTCACTCAGGACTCACTCTTGGTGGTGCTTGGGCAGGATGGACTGTATGAGTAGCTGGGGATCAAGCCCAGGTCTGCTGTGTGCAAGGCAGGCCAGCACCTTACTGCCACACACACCCCTGTCCTCCCCCACCCCCCCAAAAAGAATAAGCCGACTTTTTTTTGTTTTTGATTTTGTTTTTTTTATAATGTGTAGACTGTTTTACGAAATTGAGGAGAGTTTGGAATGATCAGTGATTTCAATTGTTTTCTGTTGTTGTTACAACAAATTGCAGAGTCTTGAAAAGACGCATTCATTGTCTTCATGTTAGTTAGGTGTAAGAAGTCAGCAGTTCTGTACTGTATTCCTTTCTGGAGACCTTTTAGAGGGTGTAAGTATGCACCCAAAAGATGCTCAAAAGGCCAGGATGTCCCTGCAGTGACTCTCAGACAACTTGGGCTAAGGATTCAAGCCTGCCAGATCACTACGGTGGTGCTCGGGGGCCAGAATGGATCTGTGCTCTAGGCACTGTGAGAACAGAGACCTCCTGTACTCTGTCCAGCCCGTCCTTTTCTGGTAGACTCCGGGGAGACTTTCTTTCTTTGATAATCCAGCTTCTGTGACTCCTCCATTTTCCATTCCTTGTCTGTTGTTTCCCCCCTCACCCCCAATAAAAACAAAAACAAAACCTTAAGGAAATCGGTAATTGGGTATAGTGTTTTATTACACTATCATCTCTGATTCTTTGTTGAACCCCTTTTGGTTTTCTCTCTGTTTTTTCTTATAAAGCTTTGGTTTTTGTTTTTTTTTTTTTTGACCTCTGTTGCATTGGTTGTCTTACAAAGACCCATGTGTTATGGATTCCCCTGAATAATTTCCGTTTAACTTCAATCCTATCTGCAAAGCTTTTTCTATCATACACAGTTAAGAGGTCCACTTACTATAAATAAAACAGCACTGCTAGTTCACGTGCTCTTTTTGTTTTTGACTTTAATATCTGTCTTCTATCTACAGAAATCTGTAATTTAAACCAGTGTTTCCCAGAGTGGGCAGTGAATGCCGCCTGGGGCCATGGAACTGGTCGGGAGAGTGGTACTCGTTTTGGGGTGCTGTTGGGTGTGCTTATTACATTTGTTTGCACAGAAATTTCTAGAGGAGGCCCAGAGTTATTTCTCTCCCCCTTCTCCACCCTCCACTCTGATCTGGAATCTCTGATTTAAACACTGCTTTTAATATCTTAAATACTAGATTTAGGTTAAAGGGGTAATTTTCTTGCATGTGACAGTTGAAAAGCATAGTTTCTAAAGAGAATTTGTCATGAACTGTGAAAGTCTTCAAAAACAAGCCATTCTCCCTCCGCCTTCAAGTTTTGGTCATGCTTTCAGGCAGTATATAGGTTTGTAAATAAGTAGTTCTTTCTCATTAAGTGTGTGTGGTTGTGTGTGTGTACATGTGCAAATGCACTAATTCACTCTTTTTGTGCATGGGTGGTGGGCTGGGAATTAAATTCTGGGCTCATCCATCTAAGGCATGCCCTTTATCTCTGGCCCAGAGGATTTTTAAGACTGCATGAAATGTCAATTTTTCCTATTCCAGCACAGTGTAATATCAACTAATGTGTTTTTACTTGTTTTGGAGAAGTGCTTGGTTAATTTTATGCTGATTTTGTTTGGGAGCTGCCTCTCACAGTGCTGGCGGGCGGTGGGGGGTGCTCACAGCACTGACTATGTAGTGCTGGGAATGAAACCTGGGGCCCCCGGGGTCAAAGCATGCACTCCGATCCTGTGAGCTGCCTTTCTGGCCTAAACAAATGCTCTTTAAAAAATGCATTTCTCAACCAGTTAATCTGTTATGAGATATATATATATATATATATATATATATATATATATATATATTTATATCCCCCAAAAAACTGTGTTGAAGGATTTTCTTTATTGATGAGAGGACGTTGGTAAGCTCCTTTAAAAAGACATTTTTTTCTTTTTTAAAATTATAGGGCTCTCCAGTCATAATAAAGGGCCAGGGGTGGGGGCCTATCCTAATGATACTTGTGGTTGGTGTGAGGGGCCTTTGGTACCGAAGATTGTACTTATTTCGGACCTACCTTATTCTTCCAAAGCATGAGTTCTACCTCTTTCTATCTATCTCCCTGACCCAGTATTGTAGGCGCTTGTAGAAATTATGCTGTATTGTGGAAATTATGCTGCTTGTGTATTTTTAAAGTTCACCATTAGAGCAGGTGATTTTATTGTTAGAAATGATCTATAAACTTTCATTTCACCTTTTTCATTTTGTTATTATTGTGATTGGGAGAATTATGAACATTTGATTGCATTGATACGGAGATCACACATTGTTGTGGTCTGGAGATCCTGAATGGCAGTGCCACTTGGCATGTGGGCTGGTGCCCTGTGTTGCATTCCGGAGACTTAATGCCAGGGCTCTCCTTGGCCCCTGAAAGCTTTTATTTGATAAATTTGTTTGTCTCGGTATTTTTGTGGACTCGTGTTGTTCCTAGGAGGTGCCTCCTATTGCTCCCTTCAAGGAAGCTCGCAGGGGCCCGTGCAGTGCTGGGTTTGAAGCTGGACTCTGCAAAGCATGTGGCCTAGCCTCTGAGCTTTCCCCCAGTCTACCTGTAAGCTTGCTCCCCCTCCCCCCCCCTCCCCCACCGTCCCATCCTGTTTGGTTTTAGGGCCATACCAGGCTGTGTTTGGGACTTATTCCTGGTTCTTTGCTCAGAAATCACTCCTGGCAGTACTCAAGGGACTATATGTGGTGCCAGGAATTGAACTAGAGGTGGTTGTGTTCAAGAAAAAGGCTTAAAGACCTATACTATTACAAATTAAAAAATATAACAAATATTTAAAAATAAAAAGCCCTATACTAGCTCTTCATGTGCCTCTCACCCTCGTCTATAATGAACATTGCTTCATAGTTTCATACCATTGATAGATTAAATTGTCTTTTCAGTGTAATGTTAAAATGTGTTCAGTAACTTTAAAATTATATTCTAAGACACTGTTGTGGGCTGGAGCTATACTACAGAAGAGGATAGGGTGCTTGCTTTGCATGCAACTGACCTGGGTTTGATTCCCAACACCATATATGGTCCCCCTGGGCCCTACCAGGGGTGATCCCTGAGCTCAGAGCCAGGAGTAAGCCCTGAGCACTGTCCAGTGTGGACCCCAGAACAACACAAGACACCGTTGCTTGTAAAACATGCTGTACTATGTATGTATAGGGAGAGATCATCAATTTATGAGAGAAATCCCAGTTTAGGGAATGTAGGTCAGTGGGGTAGAGTTGTTTACCCAGCATGGTTGAGTCCTGGTACTAACTCCCACCCCTTAAGCCCTGAAAAGACAAGACTATTTCAGATACATTAAAATGTGCAAAAATATCCACTGTAGTCAGTGAGATACTAGTGGAATGCACTATAAAACAGGTTTTCTAAATATCAGATTTTCTTTTAAATATTGGACATAGTTATTTTTATTACACTAATGTATGTCAAATAATAAAATGGGCAGTGACTTCTTGATTTCCCATTTTAAGTATATTTTTATATTGTATGTGTAATGTTCCGTATTTTCTGAAATAATTCATTGGTAGTGTTTTTATACATAAAATGGTTCCATTTTTATCTGACTAGTCTGTTTTGATAGAATACTAATACTTCTTAGTTCTATTCTGATTATTTTGGCGGGGTGGATGGGGAGTCATACGCAGCCATGCACTCAGGGAATCCTTTCTCGGGGCTCAGGGAAGCATACGGGGTGCCCTGATTTGAACCCATGTCAGCCACTTGTGAGGCAAGTGCCTTACCTGCCATACTCTCTCTAGCCCTGTATTTAGATCTAATGAATTTCAGAATCATTTAACTTTTCTTAAGCTCTTTGAAGCAGCCAGTTCTGTTTAAATCGAAATATAATTGGCTTACGTTCTCTTTTCCAAGGTACAAACTCTGAGCTGTCTAACCCCTCTGAAACAGAATCTGAGCGTAAAGATGAGCTGAGTGATTGGTCATTGGCAGGAGAAGATGATCGAGAGAGCCGACATCAGCGTGACAGCAGGAGACGCCCAGGAGGAAGAGGCAGAAGTGTTTCTGGGGGTCGAGGTCGTGGTGGACCGCGTGGTGGCAAATCCTCCATCAGTTCTGGTAGTCTTTTATATACTTATGTCAGCATTCTGTCTTTGTAGACAGTATGACTTTACACAAGTTCATTTATTTGCCATGATCACCTGTTTTTAGAAGTTTCTCTTTTCCATTGAGGAAAACAAAAAAGAAATGAAAGTTTGGCAGGGTTTTCTCGGTGAAGTTTTTAGCTAGAATTTTCAGGTTTGAGGAACTTAATTGGGCATATTCTATGCATTTTGAAGGTTAGGTGTATGTTTATGCCTTCGGTTTTGGAGCTGGGAGCATTTAGGAGCTCCTCACCCCTGTCTAGAATTTGTGGGTTATTTATTTATTTTTGTCAGATGGATTCAGAGACTTTCACAAAAAGATGTCTAGGTGTAATAAGAAAGATGAGCTGAAAAACCTTTCTCGCTGTACTTGGAAATAGGGGGATATTGTAAAGCCAACTTTTAAACCTTAATGTTTAAGTAATTGAATGTGAAGAGGAATGTTTAGATTTGAAGTGTCTAAGCAGTTTTTTAACTAAAGATTTTGAAAACTTTAAATGATGTATAACTTATCATGGCATTGTAGAAGTTGCCAGGATAATAAATAAAATAAGCTGGGCTGTGTGGGTGGGATGAGGCTATGTGGACTATATTATTTAATAGGCATTTATCTTTAACATATTTATGCTACTGTAATTATTCTCAATGCTGTATATTCCCAGAAAGCTTATATAAGTATAAAATGTTAGAGAACATATATATATATATGTATATATATACATACATATATATGATTATAAAGTGCTTAGTGCTTACTCTATACTCTAAAGTCTTTTTAGGGAACTCATTTTTATAATTTAATATATTACTATTACTCGGGCTGAAATTATAGTATGCTGGCTTGCAGAATAAGGTACTTTGCCTAGAGTTTGTGATTAATGGATAAACTTAGTATCTTTTGCAAAGATGCTAGCTTGCTAGCCATTACCAAAGGAAAATTAGGAAAAATCGTGATTAGGTGAATTTCTTCCATAAGTTGATTGGTGGAGGCAATAATTGCACATAGGTAAGATGGGTATTTTTTTCTTATGGTTTATATCTTAAAACTTCCTTTCCACCCCACCTTAACCCACCTTCACTCTTTCTTTCTAGAGATGGGAGTCTAGTCCATATTCATTTACTCATTTTCCTTTAACCAGTTTCACCGTTTTTTAGTTTAGCTTTTTTTATTTTGTGCAGAACTGTTTTGAAACTTATTCATAGAAACAGACTCTTACACCTTAGAGTGCAGGTGTTGAGTGTTATTTTTTATTTGCAAGTAGTCCATTAACTAGCACAAAAGTACAGCAATCACCTTGAATTCAGTAAAGAGAAGAAAGCACACCTCCCCCCCTTTTTTTAAAGAATCAGTACTCTTTTTGCTGAGTAGACAGTTCGCCTTTTTATTTTGGCTGAGCAGGCTTAGCTTGAATGTGAATGTCAAGATTAACATGTAGTTCTTTCAAAAGAAGTTGAAATAGTATGCTAGCTCTTTAATTCTTCATTACCATTACCATTTTTCACATTTGTTACTGTATAGGTAAAATTGTGGTGTAGAAACCATTTTAAATTTTTATTGGGTGAATTGAAGTTTATCAAAATAGTGAAAGACAACATTTTATTAGAAGAATTTATTGGGGAGTATTGAAGTTTATCATTAATATTATATAGTTCGATATAGATCAAAATGATACTAATAACAGCAGCTCTCTTAAACAATTATTTCTTGCCTCTGACCTGCGTATAGTGCTCAAAGATCCAGACAGCAATCCATACAGCTTACTTGATAATACAGAATCAGATCAGACTGCAGATACTGACGCCAGCGAATCCCATCACAGTACTAACCGTCGTAGGCGGTCTCGTAGACGAAGGACTGATGAAGATGCTGTTCTGATGGATGGAATGACTGAATCTGATACAGCTTCAGTTAATGAAAATGGGCTAGGTATGTAAGCATTTAGGGAAGGATGTTGTGTAACGTTAACATGATGCTTTTATGGGAGGACGGGAACTGCATTAAACATGCAGATTACAAGGAGAGTTTTTCTTGGTGTTTGCTTCAAGGCAGATAGCTTTGTGTTTGTCCCTAAATGTCTACTTCTCAGTTTTGTATAGGGAAGTATTTGAAACTGGGAGGATTTCATAAAAGTGCCCTTTGATATTGTTAAATCAGTACAATTACTGTAACTGCAAGGTATGCTCTTTATTATTCCCAAACCAGAATTGGGCTTCCAGCTTCTTTAAAGAGTTATTTTTTTAAAAAGATAACTCAAATAAAGCTGTATATTTTGAAAAGCATTCACGTTCAAAGGGCTCAAATATTAATTTTGGTAAATCTGAATTTATTCCCTTTATGGTAATTTAAATCTCACAGTTTGTTCAGTCTCTCTTAATTTCCTTGTAATTCTACTTTCAATCTATTTGGAACATTTAAAACTACAAAAGTATCTTTTCTGTCAGTAATGTATATTGTTTTATCTTCCTGTTAAAAGTTGTATCTTCTTAAATCTTTGATGGAAAGAAATTTTGTTTATTTTTTCGTTTGTTTGCCTTTTTTTTTTTTTTTGTCAGAATAGTTCATGGTAAACTTTGCAATTACAGATGATAGTGAAAAAAAACCCCAGCGACGCAATCGTAGCCGCAGGCGTCGTTTCAGGGGTCAGGCAGAAGATAGACAGCCAGGTAACTTCAGTGGACCTGTTCACACCAGGTCACAAGCATGAAAAAAATTGTCATGTGTCTGCTTTCTAAATATACTGTACTTACATGTACACATGTGTGCATATACATTCAAGATGTGCATCGCATAAATTGTTTACTCGACTAATAAAACTACTCTTAAGAAAATGCATTCTCCCTTCACATCGGAAATGTTTAGTAACTGCTTAATTGAGCTAATGCTGTGTCTCAGTGTTTGTTTGTTTGTTTGTTTGTTTGATCATGGGGATATGTTGAGAGGGCCATTAATTTGTCCATGTGGCAGATTCTTCACAATTTGTGATGGGGCCTGCCATTCCAAGGACTGTTATAGATTGTAATTGAGGTCAACTGGCAAAACCGGGCAGATTTTGCATGGTGCCTGCTTACTATATCTGGAATCAGCACCTCATTTTTGTGGGAACAGTAATACCCACAGGGTTTTTGTTTTTTTTTAAAAGTATAAAAGAAAAATACTGAAGTGTCTTTTTGTCCTATTAAGAGGAATGCATGTTACGGTTTTTTTGTTTGTTTATTGTAGTGTGATGCCTTTTTCCTTACACTTACTAACTATTCAAATTAATAGTACTTACTTAGTTTTAGAATGTTAATTTAGTCAAAAGTTGTAGTGACTTAAAGACAATTGTTTGATCTATTATTTTGAACATAATTCCACTTATGTACAGAGAATCATGTGTTCACAGTGAAGAAATTGTGTGCACCAGAAATAAACCCCTTTTGAACTAATCAATTTTGTATTCTTTACCAAGTAAATTCTTTCACATTACCCCCAAATAATATAATTTTTGTTGCCTTTAGTATTTTAAGTTCAGTGGTTATAGAGCTATTTGGGAGGACTAAGGCTATTTCTATTCTTGAGGGGAAGGCGTGTTCATATTTTAATGAGAGTTGTTATTTAAAAGGGATTAAGTATTTCAAAATTAGGAAGTTTTCAGGAAATGTTTTTTTCTCTTCCTGTCTCTTCATCATATTTTAGATCAAGATTATATTTTTTTGAAGCTGGAAAAGCCGTTCAATTTTTTCTGGCCATACTATATAAATGCAAAAATCAAGGCTATCAGTGTGGACTTAAAATAGAATAAATTTGAACATAACTTACTAAGTGGTGACTTTTTAAATAAGTCAGTATACTTAAAAGCAATCACCATTGAATGCATTATAGTAGAGGCAGAGATTTCTGTATGTTACTGGAGGTTTTAGTGATTTGATAATGATTTGTGTGTTTTATACCACACTTATTCCAATTTTTCTTTTTTCTTGGTAATTATTATTTTCCCCCGAGAGAAGTTAATTCCTTCACTAGTCCTTTTGACCCCCAAGTGCCATTGAGATAAAACCAAAGATAAAACCAATAATTTATGGTTAATAAAAATAAAATTTAAATATCCAGAATTTTCTTATTAAAAACCAACCAGCAGTAGTATGGTAGAATAAGTTTAGGAAGTGCATTATTTTGTCTTTGACCATGACAGCAGTTGTGTCCCCCCATCTAGATTTCATAGCAGCGTTTCTAAATATAGTCATTTAGTTGTCTTCATTTGCTCAGAATTTCTTGTTGACCTTAGTGTCAAGTAAATAGTGAATTTTCTTTACTAAGAACGTGGTAATACTAACAGGTTCATTAACCTGGACAACTTAGAAAAATTATGGAGTACAAATGATGCTACACACATTACCTGTATTTCCCCCATAGATATCTTGTCCATTATAAGGTTGAGTCTAAAGAGGTTTTTAGGGTTTTTTTGGCGGGGCAGTGCAGCAGTTGGCAGGGAGCTGCCCAGCTGTGCCAACAGCTGCTGTAGGATGTCAAGTGGAGTCCATGCTGAGTCAGGTTTGAGGCCCTGGCCACCAGTGTGCACAGCCGCAGCCTTTCTTTTCTTCCTCTTTTTTGGAGCTACCTCCCTGATCTAGGTTTTTTTCTTCAAATCAACTGAGGAGGTTCTAGCTTTACCTCCCTTGTGGGTGAAGAGGGGCACTAGTTAAGATTGCACCAACTTGCCCACTAAGTGCCTTTTTGCTGGTCATTCTTAAAGTATGCCAGTCTCTGTGCATAATGCATGAAATCATTTTAAGATTGTTGTAGCACCTTCGCGTATTCTCATTTAATAATTTTGTCTGTCCCTATGGCAGGGTTTCCAAGTTGCTGAATGTTTTAAATGTCACTAAGGGCTGAACTATGGAAACAAAGAATTTGAATGAAGGTGCTTGCAGAGCTAGACTCACTCCTGAGTGGGTTTGCTATGTATCTATCTAATAAGTAAATCGTGATACCTACTATGTATATGATACCTATCCTCCCCAGTTTTGAAAATGATTAAATATGTAAATTCATTACTATGATTTTTGAAGTTCCAGACTGAGCACACAGAGTTTCTTTGAATTTGGAAGAGGCAGGTTTAGATAGCTTTAGTGCCAATTTCTAATAAATGTTGTACACTAAGGTATTTGATAAGGTATTTGAGATTTAAAAAAAAATATTAGGTCCTTAGAAATTTCTTGAATTTTATAATAGTATTAGCATGTTAATTTATGGTTAATAAAAATAAAATTTAAATATCCAGAATTTTCTTATTAAAATGATTTAAGCATTTTTATGAGACTATTCTCCCCAAAACCACAAATTTAAAATTTTACTTGAGTTTTCATTCTTCACATAATGAACTTTTTTCCCATAAATTAAAGTAGCACTTTTTCATAGAATCAGGGTTTTTGTCAGTTTCCAGTAGAAAATCAATTCTTTGAAAGAGAGATAGCCATTTCCTCATGTCAGTGAAACTTTAATGTAAGACCTCAGACAGGTTTGTGGTATTAAGTGAGGCCTCTGCAGACATCATTTGTTGTACTTGGTTTCGTGGTAGGTTGCTTGCTTGGGTTAGTTTTCCTGAGTCACTGCTATCATCTACTCACTTCCTTGCACACTTCAGTCCATCAATCAGCCCCTCCAGAGATTGGCAGAGTGAGCAGGGGATGATGACTAACATCCTGGTAACCTTTTCCCACTACCACCGACCAAACTTTTAGGGTTAAATCTAAATCTGTTTATCATCTTCAGTTTGCTCATGGACCGAGAATGGTTAATAGTGTGAAATGTTTAAAAAGGGATCCATAAAATACTTGAGTAGCTTATTTGTGTTTTAAAATAACTAAATACTTGAGTAAAGTCTCTTACATCCTTGATGATTTTTGAATTGAACCATAACACACTATGACTTGAAATACCCCCTAACTGCACCCGCAAACTGAAAATTGCAATCATTGCCTGTGTTTTAAATGCTGCGTTTTCTGTTGTTGGGTTGTGGGTATCTACACCAGTTTATCCCACAACCACATATTTGACCAGAAGCTGGAGACTTGTGAAAAAGAACTTTAGGCCCTCAGTCTCCAGCTTACACATGCAGTTTTTTTAAGATTTGTTTTTGCTTGGAGGTGGTACCCAACTTAAGAAAATCTTGAAATTGGGTAACCCTCCATGAGTTTATTTTAAAAGTAAAATTTTCTTTATCCATAAATAAGCGTTAGAAATATTTTTTTCAACACCTGTAATTTTTTTCTCATCTTCAACAGTCACAGTTGCAGATTATATTTCTAGAGCTGAGTCTCAGAGCAGACAAAGAAACCTCCCAAGGGAAACTTTGGCTAAAAACAAGAAAGAAATGGTAAGGAGAATTTAACCTGTAGGGTGTTTTTGTTTTTGTTTTTTTCTTTTTCTTTTTTTTTTTTCAAATACGGTTTAGCTTTATTTTCACTTACTGTGTGATCACTCGTTTCCCCAACTAGCAAAATAATTTTAAAAGTACTCTTAATTTTGTTCTTGGTCCCAGATAACTGAAGATATGCATGCTTGAGCTAAAATTCTTTTCAGTTAGAAAGTTAAACAGCATATGTAAAAGTCATTCTGCCCAGAGCTAGACTATTGTTTAATTTGGGGAGCAGTAGGCTATAAACCTTTATCAGTCACATAGACCTAAGTTTTAGTTATCTGAGTGCTCTAGGGAATTTGATACGTGAATACACACATCTTGTAAAAGGTGAGTGAAGTAGGTGATTTTGCTTTTCATGTGTTATTGACTGTTTATATCTTTGAGATGAGCTCTTTAAAATTAAAGCAGGCGCAATTTTAGTAAATAGTACAAGTTTTTCCTGTGGTTTAGGTATGGCTATTTGTCTCTAATTTTGTAATCATTTTAACTCTTTTAAGTCGTTGTGGAATATGAACATACAAGTATTAGCCGTTTGTGTAGGTTTTCCTCCTCAGGAATAGATTGCGTTTATAAAGAAGTTGAACACGTTGTCTCCCTTTGGCAGGCAAAAGATGTGATTGAAGAGCATGGTCCTTCAGAAAAGGCAGCAAATGGCCCAACTAGTGCTTCTGGCGATGAAATTCCTAAGCTACAGCGTACTCCAGGAGAAGAGAGGATCAGTACCGTGAAAGAAGAAAACACTCAAGAAGCAGCAGTCCTGAATGGTGTTTCATAAACTGGAGAAGTTCCTAGTTTACAGTTCTTTTACATTACATTTTACAATAGTGCTCGTACAGCTTGCCAAAGATAGAATCCGGATCGCCAGTCTTTCCATCGCACTTTCAGTTCCTCCATTTGGAATTCAGAAAGGGAGGGATCCTGAAGAAATCATATGTTAAACAACATACTTTGACACCTACTGTGTTCTAAAATATATCATCAGATGTGCCTTGAGAATAGTATATGTAACATTAAAAAAAAGTTGCTGGCTATAGGAAATGTTATTTTGTTTTCAAAATGTGGCAGAATTGGGGGGAGGTGGGTGGGGCGGGGGAATCCCTGACTATTCTTTATGGAAGCAGTAGCTGCTTTTATTACATTTTTGATAATATGCAACCACTTCTTCACCTGAGGAAACTAGAATGAAATGCAGTCTAAAATACTTTGCACTGAATTGTAATTTCTTCATTAGTTTAGTCTGGAAACTGGTCTGTTTTAATGTGTTTTTAAAATGCTGTGTGTAGAGGAAAATCTGCAGACCACTGGAAGACATTTGTTAAACTCATCTGCAGGGACACTGGGTGATATTGGCAGTGACTGTTCTACATTGAGGCTTTGTTTGGTTTATTTATTAAAGTGTACAGTATTTAAAAATCAAACATAGCTTTAGTTAAAACACTAAGCTGAATTAGTCATGTCCATTCAGACATAACCTGAACTACTGAAAGGTCAATTTCCAGAAGGTTGATTCTGTATAAACTACATGTTAGTCTTCAGTAGGCTATTTTTTCCTTTCCTCCCCCCCCCTTTTTTTCTTTCTTTCTTGTTTTTTTAAAATTTTTTTTTTATTTTTTATTTTGGTTGTTTGATGTGCAATATGTTTTTGTATGCAGGTAGTAAATAAACTTTGATCTTCCATTTGCTGATTTTTAACTTTCTACTTTTTATAACAATTGTTTCAAAGTAGTTGGAACTACTTTTAGGTCTAGAGTAGTGATTGTTTTTTAAAAAGCATATGCTTATAAGTAGTACTAAAATGCCACTTTGTTAGTTATTCTGTAGTGAATTCTCTCATCCTAGCACTTTAATTTAGGTTTTTAGAAGAGTAAGGTTTAAAGGTTATTGATTAGACATTTGTGGCTAGGAAAGACATTAGCTACATTGAAAGGCAGCTTATGGGAGGTTGTGGTGAAATCCAGAAGTCCATAGTGAAATCCAGAATTCTGCTTTTGATTATAAAAATTTGACAGGATGAGCAGTTTTCAAAACAGAATAAGGCGACTAACATGCTTTTTGATTCTCAAATACTTTGAAAGGTTATGTGAATATTATTACTGAAAACGCTTTTTGGCTGTTTAATCAGATGGATTAGCTTTAGGAAAATAAGCACATGAAGTGTGTTTGAAACTGATAATTTATGAAGTTAATAGGTCATATCAAGTAAATATGGACTGATGAGTTTAAAATATTCATAACCGAGCAAGAATGATAGTCCTTTCTATCATTTGGCTTCTAAAGATTTTTTTTAATGTACATAATATAAATTTTTAATGTCTATAAATATGTGGTCTTAAATGTAATACTGAAGGAGAATTCAGAGTGTAGTTTAAAATGTAATTTTTGCTTGGTCTGAGTGTGTGTGTGCGTGTGTGTGTGTGTGTGTGTGTGTATAGAGAGAGAGCCCTACCCCTCAGTTTTATTGCAGGTAAGGTTAAGATGTGATAGGGTATTAAATCCTTTTTCCTGAAATTCTGGTAACTTTGCTTAAGGTGTTGAGTGAGCAGTTCAATTCTTGCACTATGAATAATACCAAGTTCATATTTTATTTTCTAAGAAATTTGACCCATGTCATTTTCATCCTTCAAAGTTAGAAACTGAAAATTTTTTCTTTTTGTTTGGGGTTTTTGCTAATAATTGGATTACAAGTTAATTATAAGGAGAATTTTCACCAATCTTTGTATAGGTAAATATGGTATAAAGAGAAAATGAATTTTCACCTCTTTACATGTACAATAGATTGGTTAAGCATATTTTCCATAAGCGCTGTTAATGGGAAAGGATACAACAGAAACATCTTTGAGTGTGGTCTAAGCAGGTCTTTAGATCTTAGTAATCATTCTCAGTGGTTGAACTCTTTCATGCATGCAGCTTGACCAGGTTTGATCCCCTACATCTCAGGTGGTCCCCTGAGGACTGCTAGGAGTGATTCCTGAGCTCAGAGCCAGGAATAAGCCCTGAGCACTGACTGCTGAATGTGGCCCCAAAACAAAAATGTATTCAGATTTCATTATTTGCAAAAACTCCATTCAGTTTCATGGTTCTTTCAATAGGCTTTTTGTTTTAAAAAGCAAATGCTTACATTCAGAGGGGACCTGTCTTTGGGTACTAACTAGGTAAGATCTGATCATAAGGACAGTTTGTTGGTAGAAGATAAAGACACAGATGCTCAAGAAAGGGCGGGGGGGGGGGGGAGTCTAAAAGACCTTGTGCAGTTCAGGACTGTTTGAGCATGCATGTGAAATCATGAAGGCATAGCTACTGATATTGATGTAGAGGCAAAAGTATAAAAATGGCCTACTTTTTTTTTTAACCCACCATATAGGAGTCTTGGGTTGGGCATCACCCTTGAAGTCTTCAGTGGGCCTGAAACTAGCATAAAAGTAATGTCTGTTGACAGGACAGTCACATGGGTGAGATAAGGGATTCACAAATCTTAAAAAAATTTACGTGGAATTAAGAAAAACACATAAAACTGGTAAGTTCATACAGACACAGCTTAGGCAGGGGCTGGAGGAGGTTGTTCAGTGAATAACATTTAGAAAATGTAACTGGCATATGGAGCAGCCAGACGGGAGTGAGCGGAGATAAGCAAAAGCAGTTGGCTTCTGGGTGGCCTTTTAAACCAGCCATTCTTTGGTGCCTAAGTTTTGTTAGCTTTGTGCTGAGCCAGAGGTACTTTTACTGCTATCCTTAAAGCTTCTGAGAAAGGCCTCTGCAGTTTTTGTATGCTGAATAGTTACAGTAAGATCGAGAAATTACACTTCTTGAGATTGAAACGAGTTAGTATTAGCGTAGATTTTTCCTATAGTAAGCTCCGGACAGGTGAATGGAAAACTGGGGATATGCCCCAAGTTGAAATGACATACAAAGAACTTGGGCTTAAATTGATTCAATCATTTGGCTCTATTTCTGAGGGCAGGGAGGTAGGATGTTGATTTTAAAGTCTTTGAGTCTTCTGATTGCTGATGGTTTTTACTCCCAGTCGCTCTTTTATAAAGCTATCTGGTAGAATGAATGTGTTGGCCCCTTATTAAGGAGATATGTGCTTGAGTAGATAGCATTGTACCATGATTATTAACTGATTATTATTAGCATTTGTATTTCAATGCTGGAATAATTACAATCTGTAGTCAAACTTTGGTGGCAGCTTGTGGTAATTAAAAACTGTTGGTTGGAATGAGTTGGATTAAGCCATAGTAAATTGCCAGTAGTTGGAATTGCTACCAAGAAGTGGCAGTTTCCTTACCCTGATTCAACCTCATAATATGCGTCAAGTCCCCTCCTGCTGCAAGAGGGAAATGCATAAGGAAACTCCCAAGTTTTCTTTTCCTGTTCAGATTCTGGGTCGCACCTGGTGCTGCTCAGGGATTACTCCTAAGAAAGGGGGGTGGGGGTCGTGGGAGAGCAAAGGACCGTATGTGATGCCAGGAATCAATCCAAGGACAAAGCAAGTGCCTTAACCCACCTCCACCCCCCACCCCTACTGTCTCCTCAGCCCCAGGAAATTTACAAGGGTTTATCAGTGAATCACTTTAGACTCAGATCTGTATCTTCTGAACTGTGTTTGCATGTTGAAACAGTGTAAATGCTCCTGGATAATCTAATACAGAGTTTTTAATCTGTCTGTTTTCCTATTTTCTTCTTGATAATTTGAGAAGTTGTTGAAGACCTTAACGTAAAATTACGGAGTTACGATTTTTGAACGTTTTCTGTAGTCTAGTAGTCAAAGGACTCTAGAATCTGTAACTCACACCGTCAATTACAGGTCTTAAAGATGCGCTTTATTTCTAAATATCCTCAGGATGTCAAAGTACAAAATTGTTTGTACCTATGTAGTCACCTTAGCCATTTCCATCTTGGCATATAGAATTAAAAAGTAATCTGAGTAAAATTCCTTTTCACTAAAACCCACAGACTAAAAGCTCTCTATGGAGTGTATAGTTAACAACTTCTAAAATGTGTTTCAGTGATGGGTACATTGTATTTTGAGTGAAATTACTGGTTCGTACCTTTAACCGCGTAATTGTAAAATGTACCTAATCTTCTTCTGATTTATAGATGATCATAAAAATTTTCCCAGTGATTTTTCCAAAGCAACTAATTTATTGCCTACAGGTACCTAGTCAAACTTGGCTTTTTAAAAATTAAGTTTTCAGGTTGTAAAGAAAAATGTTTTGTGAACATATCTGAAATGATGTTAATGTGTAACGGCATTTAGTAGCAGAAAGTGTTAACATCTAGACTACTTTAACACTGTGGCTTTGTCATTGAGTCAGGAGTAATAACACTGAATAGAATCTCTTCCTAAATATAACTCGTTGCTAAGGCAACATTAGACTCTAAGCTGATAGTACAGTGAGCAGTAAGAAAATGAAGCGTATATTATGTAAGTCTTGTGGCATTCAAAGTCAGAATCTATTATAGAATCAAATTAATGTTGAATTCTGAATAGTTAGTAGTTTGCTTTGATTGGTATTTGGACTGGAGATGGAACCTCCAAGTCCCGTGTGACATCTGACTTCACTGTTTCATATTTACAAATATTTTCCACTGTTCTGAAATTCTTACACTTTTCTTTTTAAATTCGATTTTGGAATCACACCATCCCACCTGGCAGTGCTTAGAATTTACTTCTGACTCTGTACTCAGGGTTACTCCTGGCAGTTCTGGGGACCATACCTATAAACGAACTCAGCTGCTTGCACAGTAGTACGATCTCTCCTGCCCCTGAAATTCTCATTTTTTTTATTGGAATTCCAGGTTAGGGTATAATTTGTGCTCTCATGAAACATGACCCTCCTGCAGATTTCTGAATTGCAAAATAACCTTCGTAGGTAATTAGTAATAGAATTTCTCATTGCGACAGAACTCCGTATTCTAACGTAAAGTATTGAAATTTCAAAAGTGACTTTGAATGGCCAGAAAGATAGTACAGTGGTTTAGTGTGCTTGCCTTGCATGTAGCCAGCCCGGGGACTGATTCCCAGCACTCCATAAGGTTTCTAAATCTGCAGAGCAAGGATTACGCCTTGACCACTTCAGGGTGTGGCCCCAAATCCTATCCCTTCCCCCACCCCCCCCCCCCCCCCCCCCCCCCCAATTTTTCAAATTTTTCAGTGAAGCACTTTAAATGTTTTTGAAAAAGTAGTTTTTGATTTGGGGGCTGTACTCAGGGTTTACTACTGGTGGGGCTTGGAGGACCTTTTAGGGTGTTGGGGATTCCAAATACTAGACCTGCTGTCTTCTTACACCTATAGAAAATTTCCAACCCAGGTTTTTTAAGGTAGGACATAAATTTAATCGCTAAGGAAAATACAGCTTTTCACTATGCCCAGTTCAATGTAGTTGGAATTTTGGTTAGAGTTCAAAGGCTACTGTTTTCACTCCTCAGTAGCACATTAAAAATAGCAAAAGAAATCCGTGTAAACAGACATCAGAATGTTAGGTGAATTTCTATTCCATTTTCACACAGGTTCTGAGTTTTTGAATGACATAGATTTACTGGATTGCTGATTTTTTTTAACCTGACTGCATCCGTAGGTTATTTTAAATGTCTTGAAATACGTGAAGATGAGAATTTGCTTAAAACTCAAGATGTGAACAAAGTGTGTAACTTCTAGGAACATTGAGAAGCACACTTCTTTCACCCATGCAAAGCACTGTAGGATTATCTAGTAATGTCCCAAAGACCTGTGATAGCAAAAGGTGGGGAGTAGGGAGATGACAAAACACACCTGTGCCAGGGATCAGTCTTAGAAATCACTGCCGCGCCCTCCTCCCCCCACCCCAAATTCTAACATTGGCAGGAAATTTTTCACAGTAGTTCAAATAGTTGGCCCAAGTAAGCAGAGCCAGACACGAAGAGGGGCCTGCTCCAAAGTTGTTTGGCCAAAAGGTAAATAGCATTGTTCTCGAGGCAAACCATTCCTGGGTTTTGCTTGCTTTTTCTCCATTTTAGTTCTGACAGAAATTTACTCCCAAATGGGCAGGGATAGAACGTGCTCAAGAGAAAATATGGACTTTCTCTAGAGGGGAAAAATGCCCAGCGTCTTTAGACTAATGAACCTTATCAAGGTGGAGATAACTAGCAGAATAGAATTTTGAGAAAGATAAAGCTTTCAGTATATGGCTTAGTCTAAGTTCTTTAACCTTACTAAGCTTCGTTGTAAAATAAAACAGTGTTGATACTGGGAGAAAGACATGGTAAATCAACTGTCCTAAAACATACTAGCATCGGTTAATCACTATGATCTAAAATGTAAATTTTTGTCCAAAGATAATGTAATGAAATAGGGAATCTACATGAAAGGTAAGCTTCAGCTGATGATGAGAAAAATACTCTTCTGCACTACCCTTTTATAATACATAATTATTTTAAGTATAGTTTCTTTTGATAATTAAAACTAAGCATCTTATTAAACATGCAGCACTACATAAAGTTTCCTCATTAACTGCTCGATTGCCTGTGGGCATATTCTCATGTTGTCCTGAGGTTTTAATTTGCTTTTAAAGTTTCATAACTTTCCTTAAACTCTCGTTGATAGAAATTGTGATTAGTCCAAAAGTACAAAATAAAAACTTAGCAAGTCAGAACACATGAGCCTCATTATCAGCAATTCCTTTTAATTTGTAACCCTGATATTGACACTTGGGCTGCTTATCTTTCCTGGCCGTTGGTGGACATGTGGAGGATTAAAATATTGAAGCATCTCAGTGTAGTTTCTGCCTTATTCCAGTTTAAATACTATCAGCATGTTTTTTGTGATCTGTGTAGTGTCAAGTTTTTCATATTTCTGGGTGATTTTTCTGCTCACAATGATTTACAGGTTTAGTGAAGTCCTTTCTGAAGTTATAAAACAGAAGATGACTGATGTGCCTACGTTCTTTGCTGTTGGCTATCAGCTGAATGTTAACAGTACTATTTTTAAGTTCAAACATAAAGCAAGGTTTTAAATTGGTTGACAGATTTTGTGATGAGTCTCATGGAAACAAATTCCCCTGGAAACAATGGTTAATTAATATTCACAATGACTTTATAATAAACTACCTTAGATACCTAGTTTTATACCTCTTTGCATGCGGAATTAACAGAAATATCCTGTAGAAGAGCTGGTATTTCCTCGTTTTCATACTTTAAGTCCTATCAAATGGACTTGGTCAAATTTTAAGCAGAGAAACCATGGAAAGCAAGTCCAAAGAGCAGATACACTGATAAGCCAACTTTGAAGTGGCCATAAATCCTAAAGCTAATGTTAAGATTATTTGGACCTATTTTCTCTTATAAGATTTTTAAAATAACGTAGAACTAAACAATATCCCTTTTTCCTAGATCATCCAGTGGTGCTTCAGAAGTGCCGGTGATTAAGCCCAGGCCTATGTGTGTGTGCGCGCACGCGCACGTACCTAGCTCTGTCCTCAGAGGTCACTTCTGGCAGTTGGGGAACTGTGGCAACTGGAATTAAGCCTGGACCACTAGGAGTGAGCAAAGCAGGTGCTCCAGCTGCACTGAGCTATCTTTTACCCCAAATGTCAACTTCTTAAAAGCTCCAAGCTGAGCATTTTGATAACGGAGAGCATTGTATAAGTTTTATTGTGTAAGCTGAAACACAATTATGCAAAATGCTTTTTAAATGTAATTTAAAAGCCCCTAAAATCAGCTACCTGGAGTACTTGAGAGATTAAAAATGGATCCTACTTTCAAATCTTACATCATACTGTTTTTATTATCAGTAATATGTGTCTTATTGTTTCCTGAAGTTGTGGCCAAATTCAGTTTTGAAGGTTTTAAGCATTAGAGCAAGTTTAAGAATAGTCTTTCCTCCCAACATGCCCACAGAATCTATTCTGTGGCATAGAATCCCACAAGAATTTTTTTTTTCTTTTGCCACACGCAGTGGTGCTGAGTTCTGCAGAAAAGTATTTTGGGTTTGTAGGTGATGCCAAAAGCGAACCTAGGTTGGCTGTATTCCAGGAAAAGCCCCCTATTCTGTAGATTTTTGTTTGGGGGGGAACACACCTGCCTGCTCACTCACTGTGGTCTTTGTGGAGTGACCCAGTCAGGATGCACAGGGGCACCCCGGCAGTGCTGGGGATGGGTGCACCGCATGGTGTGGATCAAACTGGTCTCCAGCTCCACCACAACGTGCTTGTAGGACCTAGGTTTGGGTCTGGTTTCCCTGGAATCTGACTCCAGCCGTCTGCCTGGCACACTGTCACATATGCCGTTAGACCAGGGGCTCCTTGAGACCGTCTTGTTCACTTCTTGAAGCAGATTATTGAGTAACAATACTTACATATATTTACAGTGATTAAACTTTTGATCTCCAAGTATTTTAATTTACAAATAATCTGACTTTGAATTCTCGTAACAAACCTACTATATCAAGGCTTGGACTTAGCTTGTGCTAGATCATTCTTGAATTTGTAGCTTAGAGGCATTTTATTATAAAAATTTGAGCATACATAAACTAGTAAAGAAGTTCAAGTTCACTTCATTTTTTAGCTTGACCTTCTAGTAAATCTTTAGCTTCATTGATTTTGGCTGCTATATAGGGAGATCCGCCTATAGAAAGAGAAAAAAAAAGTTATATGGTTTCTCAATTGTTATTTAAATGCTACTTTTGTTGTTTCAAACATCAACTGGTCAGAGGCATTTGTTTGGGGGCCACAATGTAATGGAGGGAAGAGGTGTGTGTTGGTAGGACGCTACTAGTGGTGCTGGGGGGGGGGGGGCATAGGAATGGCGGGGGGCATCCTCGGAGTCCCCTCTGCTTCCTGCCTGGAAATGATACTCTGCTATTTTAAAATGACTATGACAGTGCCAGAGAAATAGTGCCATGAATAAGACTCTAGCCTTGCACATGGCTGACGGGCATTCAGTAAGAAATGATGGTAGCGGAGCCAGGAGTAGGCCCTGAGCAGGGTGTCCCAAAACAAACCTTCAAAACTTTGACTCTGCAACTGGCTCACTATATACAGTGTTTCTGACCAAAAGAGCGATCACTTTGCATTAAAATTCCAGGAAGATAGTACTACTTAAGATAGTTTTTTCGCGCCACATCTGGCAGTGCTCAGAGATGGTGCTGGGGACTGAACCAGAATTGGCTGTATGCAATGTAAGTGCCTTAACTTTTGTACTATCTCAGCCCCACATGACATTTTTTGTGTTGGGCCGTACCCTTCGCACTCCTGACCATACTTTGAGAACCCTATGTGGCACCAGGGATCAAATGGATTGACCAGGTACTACCTCTCTGGTCACTAAAAGAGTTTCAGAAAACTACATATATCATAAGTAAGCACCAATTTACCTGTTTCACTTATTTTTGATTTTGGACCATAGATTTTGTGATCTCTAGACTGGTATTCAAGAATATTTCTTCCAGGAGCTGGAGAGATAGCCAGCAGGTAGGGTGTTTGCCTTGCACATGGCCGACCTGGGTTAGATTCCCAGCATCCCAGATGGTCCCCTGAGCACCACCAGGAGTAACCCCTGTGCATTGCCGGGTGTGACCCAAAAAGAAAAAAAAAAGGAATATTTTTTCCAATGGGGCTGGAGCGATAGAACAGCAGTAGGATGTTTGCCTTGTGCACAGCCTGGCCCAGTCATGCCAGGTTTGATTCCTCCACCCCTTTTGGAGAGCTACCCATGACGTATTCCATATGCCAAACACAGTAACAACAAGTTTCACGATCGAGATGTTACTGGGGCCGCTCGAGCAAATCAATGAACAACGGGAGGATGGTGCTCCAGTATTTTTTCCAATAGCTAAGTCTACTTTAAAGTACAGCAGAAACGAGTAAGTCTATTCTAAGTTTCTAGTCTGGTAACCACAAGTTTGAAGATATGGATGAGGAAAACCAAATCACACTTGTGGGAGGGTAGAATGACACCTGGTGGTGCTCGGGCCCAGGAAGTGCTGGAGACTGATGCTGGGCCTTCTGCTTACAGAGCATGCGGCGCGTGCAGCTCACAGTAAGCTCTCTAAGCACCCCAACGTTTTTTTTCTTTTTGGGTCACACCCAGAGATGCTCAGGGGTTACTCCTGGCAGTACTTGGGGGACCATATGGGATGCCAGAAATTGAATGCATGCCCCCCCCCATTTAATTCTTAATTCCACTAATTGAAATTCAACACATCCTTTATGAATACAGACCCCCAGCAGTAGTATGAACAGTATCTGATTTATTAGAAGTCACATCTTTGTGAATATAGATCTCAAAATGAGGTTAGTATCTACCATTGGTTTCTAAAATGTAAAGGCCCTCCCGTTGATCATCGATTTGCTCGAGCGGGCCCAGTAACGTCTCCATTGGAGACTTTGTTGTTACTGTGTCTGGCATATCGAATACGTCACGGGGAGCTTGCCAGGCCCTGCCGTGCGGGCGAGATACTCTCGGTAGCTTGCCAGGCTCTCCGAGAGGGGCAGAGGAATCGAACTCGGGTCGGCCATGTTGGCTGCGTGCAAGGCAGACGCCCTACCCGCTGTGCTATCGCTCCAGCCCTATTGTAGTTAACTATTAAAATCATTTCATCCTAATATAAATACTTGGCTTCCTTTTTTATAAAGCACTAAAAGGAGGTTGTGTTTAACATACAAATCTAGACATTTTCTTATAAATACCTGACATTAATGTTACTCCAATGTGTAACAAGCGCTTACCTTTGTCTGGGTGATTTAAAAGCATAATTCGTCGATGGGCATCTCTTATTTTTCCTTTGTTGGCAGTAGGACTAATTAAGAAGGAAAAGATTGGGGAAATAGTTGTCAACAGTATGAAAAACTGTTGAGGAACCCTATTTCCTAACAAGATGAATACTCTGAAACTAAAATGCTCCTCAGAGAAACCGGGCACATCAAATAAAAATCTCGTTGAAAATAGCCTTTAGATAGGTAGAAATGAAGGCAGATTTTACCACAAAAATTTGTTGACATTTCGGGAAACTTCGTAAGAATTAGCTTTTAAAAAGACAAAATACCTAAATCCAAGTGTGCTACTCTCTGGGCTTTGATAGGGCAGTTGCGGAGGTTAGGTCTTTATTTGGGATCAGGCCTTGTGCTGCCTGGAAGCTACCCCTGGCTTGGTAGGTACTTTGCGCTTTCGCCTGGAAGTGCTTCGGACAGGCCCAGGCAGCTGGGGATCTGAATCCTCGGCCCCACCCATGCAACACAAGTGCTCTACCACCACCGAACCACATCCCCAGCCACTGAAAAGGGAGTCTTGATTACACATTCATAAGGTACACTAATTATAATAATAGAAATCATTTCACCTGACGCCTAGTATTAATGCAGCTTCCCGTTTTGTCATTTTGGCTTCAAATCCACCTCTATAATAGCCCCCACTGAAGGCCTGAAAGAGAAAATGCATTCATAGGATGATTAGAATAAACTTTGTTTTTCCCTCCGGTTTTTAAGCCAAGCCTGGTAGTGCCTGGGGCTATTTATTCCCAGCTCAGTGGGGGAGATTGTCTGATGCTGAGTGACCTAGCTCCCTGGCCTTCAAGTCCATTTGAAAGAAAGTATAAAATAGAAAAAAGGCTCGAAACTCCCAAGGAATTTTACTTTTTAGTAGCAAAGAAATTATAATGATCATTAAGCGTTCTCCAAGCATCCTAATCAAACTGTTTTTTGAAAAGTAGGCTGTAGGGCCTCAGTTTGTCTGAAAGTAAAGATTATTTCTCACTGACCATGTTGTTCGTAAAATCTCAAGAATGACTAGTTTTGAAGTGTCCCAAGAGGGGAGGACAGACTTCAGTGTTTTTGATTCAAGGGGGTTTTAAGGTCCAAAGCAATGGCTAACAATCTTCATCTGTAGTGCTCAAATCAGGTTTCCAGGACCACCTCTTTTATGTGAACCCATGTAGGTAATGTCTATTTCACCCTCTTGTGTGCAATTTAATACTCCATGGGACACCATATTCATCTGTACTAAAACCAAGGCCTGCACAACCACATTCAGTCACACTCTAGCCCAGGTAACGCAAGTATCTCGTGGAGCCTCCGGCCATTCAATAGGATCGGCTCACTCTAGCCCCCTGCAAACTCGGTAGATGCAGATGGGTGAGGAGAGGTACGCCAACAACAGGATCACACGATGGAATTACAGACGTGTGAAGCTGTCATCTGTATTTTAACTTCTACATACACACACACACAAAAAACCCAAACTTTTTTGTTGCTGGGATGACAAGGGACTAAAACCTTAGCTTTATCAAAGGTTTCTCAATCCCCTCACTATTCGATACCCTTTTGAGAGATTAATCCACTAAAGTCTCTGGAGAAAACAATCTTCAAAATAAAAATTTCTGATGAGATGGATTCCTGTAAATGCCTTTAAAGATACTTGCACTAAACCCTGAAAGAGCTTGGGGATGAAAGGGAATTTATGTGGCATTTAGATAAATTACAGCATTTCTTGAGCCCACAGAAGAGTGCCTTCAAATCTTGCAGGGCAGAAATGGGTGCTGATAAGTGTGATCAACATTTACTGGATCTTGGACAATCACAAGAAAAAACTAGAGCACCTGACAGGATTAGTGATCTCATCCCGAGTATTTTCTGTATGTCTTCCCTTGCTCCCCACATTTCATTCTAAACAATTGAGGAAAACTAAGGAAACAGAATCACACCATCATGGGCATTACAATGTTTGAAACTCCTGTGTCCGTAGCAAATGAGGGGTGAACACGAGCGATCGCTTAGAGCTTGGCATCTGCTGGGCGACAGGGATGCCACGGGCTGGCCGCGTGCAAGCCTTGCCAGCTCACGACCTGCGTTCAACGCCGGCACCCCCCAGGATGGCCAAGGGTGGCCCAAACCCCCAAAATGGCAACTTCTTCCAGGCTTAGAAATGTTCGCGGCTTCCTACGCGTGCAGCAATGAAATTTTTTTTAATTACAAAAATTTTTTTTCTTAAAAAGTTGGAGCCTTGGGCTGGAGCAATAGCACAGCGGGTAAGGCGTTTGCCTTGCATGCGGCCAACCCGGGTTCGATTCCCAGCATCGCATATGGTCCCCTGAGCACCGCCAGGGCTAATTCCTGAGCAGAGCCAGGAGTAACGCCTGTGCATTGCCGGGTGTGACCCAAAAAAAAAAAAAAGTTGGAGCCTTACAGATTTCGGCAGACTCTGGAAAACTTGCTTCACTTGGGGCTCCACGTGTTTCATGGCTTGCAGAACATAGCGGCCTGGAGAGGAGAGTAACGAAACCGAGTCGGCTGGGGGACCCCTCCCTATGCCCTCGCCCCCGCCCGGAGCCCCGCGCCACGCACGCACCTGCGAATCCTGCCGCCGCAATCGTCAGTCCCACGGCGACCACGGTGCTGGCCTGGGGGGAGGAGAGCGGGGCGCTGACCTCGCGATTCCGACCTTGGCCTGCAGGACGCCCCTTGCCTCTCCCCGGGGACCAACGCGGGCGACAGCGGCCCTCCAAAGCCCCCCCCCCCGCCTCCAAAGCCCCGCCCCCCAGATCCCCCAGGCCCCTCTCAGGTCCCCTCCAAGATCCCCCAGGCAAGACCTCCTCCAAGCCCCTCCAAGGGCCCCTCCAAAGCTCCTCCAGGCCCCGAGACCCCTCCAAGAGCCCCTCCAAGGACGTTCCCAGTCCCCCCCCCCCGACTCCTCCCTCGCCCCGTCGCTCCGACAGCCCAGGAGTGGGAGGGCCGACCTCGCCCCCGAGCCGGGACCACCCGGCTGTGCCGCGGCCGCGCAGGGTCAGTCGCGGGGGCGGGGGGCGGAGGTCGCCTGCGACCCCAGGGGCGCGCGAGTCGCGGGGGGCGCAGCCCCCGGCCGACCCCTCCCCCCACCCCACGACAACCGGCGCAGAGAGCCGTAGCCCGCGCGACGCCGGGAGCGGCCCGGGGGCGGGGGGCGGCGCTCACCATGACCCCCTCTCGGCTCCGGCTCCCGCGCTCCGCCGGCCGCGCGGCTCATGCCACCGGCCCCGCCACCGCCGCCCGCCCGCCCCGAACCCGGCGAGGACGGACTCGGCGCCCGCAGAAGACGACGGCGCGGCCGCAAAGCCGGCCGGAAAGCGAGCCCGCTGTCGTGAAAGCGGCCGCGAAGGGGCGGGGAAGGTCGCGCCGCGGGCACGTGGGCCCCGCGACTGGGGATTGGCGGAGGCGGGGGCGGGGCACCCCGGGCCGTTGCGGGGTGCGCCCCGGCGTGGCGCTGGGGGAAGTTTCTGCCCCGCAGGCGGATGTGGAGAGTCTGGAGCCCAATTCCAGCCGCCTTTGTTTCTCCGCGTTGTGTCCGGGTGTCCCACATCTTTCGTTTGTGTCGCTGCCCTGTCCTCCCGTTGTTCATCGATTTGCTGGCACCAGTAACATCTCACATTGTGAGCCTTGTTGTTGTTAACTGTGTTTGCCATTTCGAATATGTCAGGGGGACCTTGCCAGGCTTTACCGAGCGGGCAAGATACTCTCATATGCTTGCCGGTCTCTCCGAGAGGGGTGGAGGAATCAAACCTGGGTGGGCCAGGTCGGGCGCGTGCAAGGCAAACACCCTACCGCTGTGCTATCACTCCAGCCCAGTGTCAAGCATGATGAATATAAATAGATGATTAGAACTTGATCACTTGACTTCTCGTTACTCACCAATTTGCTCAAGCAGGTACCACTGACAGCTCCATTCGTCCCTGTCACGTGCTAGTGTAGCCCAACAGAGTCTGCTCATTCTAGGACCACAAACAGCCTCAAATCGATTGTTCAGGGTCTTGATCGCCACACAATCTTTTGACGTCCTGTGGAATCCAGTCAATAACGGCTCTAGTCTAGTGGTCATCTCCAAATTGCAGTGTGTGTCCAGCCCATCTGGTTTTCAGCGCCTTGGCAAATGAGACAGTGTCCCTGATTCTTGACTGTCCATGGTGGTCAGAACTCTGGGTTCTTTCTCTCAACTCCAGATTCTTTCTCTCATAGATGACTATAAACAGATGAATAGATGCAATGAAATTGGCCAAAACAGTTCCTCTGGAAACCAAAGAAGTGGTCATTGTTCTGCAGTATGGATCGCAAGCTCTCCCTGAGGTACTCAATATGCCAAAAAGAGTAACAAAAAGTCTCACAATTTGTTGTGAGACGTTGCTGGTGCCCCCTCAAGCAAATTGATGAACACGGGAAGACAGTGGACAGTGGATGGATTGCAAAACAAAAGTTGCCCCCAGAAAAACGAGCAGGCCATGTTTGCTTAGGGGTTGTTCCAGGAGTTGTTCTATTTATGTTATGTTAGTTGTTGTTAGTGTTGCTTGACTCAAAAGCATTTCGGTGGGGCCGGAGTGATAGTACTAAAGGTAAGCTTGCCTTGCATGCGACTGACTTGGGTTCGGTCCTCAGCATTCCATAGGGGCCTCTCACCCTCTCCCCATGCCCCCGACACTGCCAGAAGTAATCTGAACACAGCTGCGTGTGTGCCCCCCCAAAAAAACCTCAATTATATATACAATACACACACACACACACACACACACATATATATATATATATATATATATATATATATATATATATATATAACTTGGTGGGACTTTGTAAGAGCTTCTGGGGTTTTGTAGAATGGAATTAGCACTTCAAAGATAGCTAACATTCTGGTGATGGATCTCAGTCCCCACAACTGCAAAGTGTTACTTAAAATTTCTCTCATCTTGAAAGAATACTTTGCAAATTGTCTGCCACACAGGCAGGGAGAGGTATGGAATGGGGTGGGGCGTGGGGGGGAGCGGATACTGGGGATTTTGGTGCTGGAAAATGTGTACTGATGAAGGGATGGGTGTTTGATGATTGTATGATCAAAGTTCAAACATGAACTTTTTGTTACTCTATCTCACGGTGAATTAATAAAAAATAGAAAAAAAGGAAAAAAATAGAATTTCTCTCATCTTGAAAAAAGATAAATAAAAGTCAGGTTTGAATTTTGCCATCATGGGACACTGGTTTCTTACACCTCTACTGCATAAGTGTCACGGGCATGAGAGAAGCTAGTAGAGTCAGATACGCTTAAACATTCCTAATTTATTGAATTACAACTCACACAATGCCATCACTAAAGCCATGCATGTAAGTAAGCAAATCCAACTAAGAACATTCATGTAACTACTACAATATTCCTAATCAGATCCTCGCTTCCAGCTGACTGAAGCCACAGCCCAAGCGCCCTTCATGTGACTTAGAGTTGGGTGAGCTCCGCAGTCTCAGCTCAGGGACAGTTCTACTGTCCACCCAATGCGAGGCTGGCAGAAGGACGGGCATGATCAGCAGCACCATCTCTCGGGCGGAGTCCATGCCAGTCTCAGGCACATGGGGGACAAGTTGGCAATCTGGAAGCTCACGTGAGGTCCTAAGTACAGTAGAGACATGGAGGAGATCCAGAGGTTCTGTCCAGACTGACAGGGCCTCTCAGAAGCCTAAGTCTATCACTTAAGGTTCCATTGACCAATCTATTTGTTGTTTTTTGGGTTTTTTTTTCTTTTTGGATCACACCTGGCGATGCACAGGGGTTACTCCTGGCTCACATACTCAGGAATTACTCCTGGCCGTGCTCGGGGAACCATATAGGAGGATGCTTGGAATCAAACGTGGGTCAGCCACATGCAGGGCAAATGCCCTACCCACTGTGCTATCGCTCCAGCCCCTGACCAATCAAGTTGGAGAGTCACCAGTTGAATTGGCCAGTCCCAGCTCAAGGCAGGAAATATCTGCCCCCCATTAATAACCATATGTGTCAGGCCCGGGGTTCGAGTCTGGTTATCCATGACTTTGTAAGCAACTTACTAGCTAACTGTATCACACACAAAATTTAAAAAGTTCACAAAATGATGTAACTTGTTCACACAGAATGGAGTGCCTTCTGTTCATAACAGTCCATCCCCTTGATGGCGAAGGACACTCAAAGAAAGGTACAAGTCATCGATAATCACACAGGAAATACCTGATAATCACAGAAAATAGATATCAAGGCACAAAGCAGTAATGGGTGGCACAAGGGATTGACACAGGGAACCGAAGGAACTCAAAATATGGGGAACATCCCAATGTTTTTTAGCCTGATTTTTTTTTGATAAGAAAAGGATGAGTTTTAAAGAAAGGTACAGAATAAAAATAAAGCATAAGGCATAAAATGTTTGCTTAAGCCAATGCCCAGGGTTCCAAGCCCAAAGACAAAGTTGAAAGTAATCAACTAGGATAATGCATCTAGAAAGGCACCCTTAGTGTGGTGTAAATGCTTGAGAAGAGAAAAGAAAGGGGACCATCAATTATGAAATTTTCTGAAAGATGTTTTCCTATCAAAATAAATTGATGCTACTTCTATTAAAACTTACAAAATGTTAGACATCTGCTTGCATTTTATTGAAATTTATTTTGGTGAACTGGTTGGTTATTAGGCTAACACACAAAATTGTCAGCTTTGTTTTCTTCCTCCATAAATAAACTGCATAAATATCAGCTGGAGCGATAGCACAGCGGTAGGGCATTTGCCTTGCACACAGCCAACATGGCCGACCCGAGTTCGATTCCTCCGCCCCTCTCGGAGAGCCCGACAAGCTACTGAGAGTATCTCGCCCGCATGGCAGAGCCTGGCAAGCTACCCGTGATGTATTCGATATGCCAAACACAGTAACAAGTCTCATGATGGAGACGTTACAGGGTCCTCTCGAGCAAATCGATGAGCAACGGGAGAACCGTGACCATGATAAATAAACTGCAGTTGGGTGGCCAAGAGTTCTTCTAGTCATAAGATTTATATAACGCAATTTATTGTCACCCGGTGATCCAGCTCTAAGACACTGGTATCAGGTGTGCATCCTCACTTTAATCTAGTTTCTTACTCCAGAGCTACAGAAGAAAGAAGTGAAGCATAAGTCTTGGGGACCAAATCATCCAGAAATAAGTTACAATGGCTGCCTGGAAAAAAGTTTTAAACCTATTTTTTGCATGTATAAATCATGGCATATAAGCTTATTCTTAGGAAACCAAGGATAGGTAAAAGGGCAAGACATTTGGACTTGAAGCGGAAATAGCTCTGCTGTTGTTGTTGTTATTATTTGGGTGTTTGGAAGTACCCAGCTGTGTTTGGAGCTTACTCCTTGCTCTGTGCTCAGGGATCACTGTTACTGGGCTCAGAGGACCATATGGAGTACCAGGGATCAAAGCCAGGTTGGCAGTATGCAAGGTAAGCACCCTACCCACTGTACTATCCCTCTCGTCGGAAATAGCTCTGTTTTATACAGAAACATGGATAAACATGCCAGCTCTGCCACGTACTGCTTGTGACATCTGACAAGTTATTTCTGACTTGGTTTCCTTATTAATAAAACAAGGGTAATGATAGTTATCTTGCATGATTTTTCTGAGGATAGTTATATATGTGCTTTGCACATAATCATTACTCGATGTGTGGTTCTTGAGGGAATTCAATGAAAATTGGTGTGTAGAGGGCCAGAGAGATGGTACAGTGGGTAGGCACTTGCCTTGCATATGGCTAACCTGGGTTTGATCTCCAGCACCCTATATAATCACCTGAGCCATGCCAGAAGTGATCCCTGAATGCAGAGCCAGGAGTAAGCCCTATGCACTGCGTGGTGTGGCCCCAAAACCAAAACAAACAAACACAAATCAAAAATAAGAAAAGAAAAAAAAATGGGATGTAGAGGCCTTTCCCCATTCTTATATCTCAATCATAGATATTAGTCTGGTAATCCCATCCCTAGTTAGTAGAGGCCTGGAATGAACCTTTTAAAAGGAAGCTTTGAAAATGTTCATTGTCTGATGAGTGGATAAAAAGAATTCTTCGCTTTTGAAGCTCCTGGTAGCTTTTGACGTACCTTGATGTCTAACTTCATTACCTCAGTTTGAAAAGAAGGTAGGTCTTATTTATTTATTTATTTATTTATTTATTTATTGGCTTTTTGGGTCACGCCAGGTTGTGATGCTCAGGGGTTACTCCTGACTCTGCACCACTCTGGTGCACATTTACCACATTTACCATTTGGGATGCCAGTTAT